CTGAGAAAAAAACGGATAAAGTGTGTGGGCAGATTTCTAATCAACTCAAACGCTTCTGATGGCCACTGAGAGCTGCAAGTGCACGCCGGATGAGGTGAGGTTTTTTTTGTTATTCGTTTGGCAAAATGCCAAGCAGTGCCTCATGGAGATATGACCCATAGTAACCCCTAACATCTTCATTTCAAGATAATTGAGTGTTTGTTAGCATCGTGATTGAGTGGCAGCCAAGAAATTGAATGCATGTGAGTGTAGGTCCACTGAGGAGTTGAGACGATTAATTCAGTTCGTGGGTGGATTGCCACATCGCGGGATTGCTGGAGATGGCGGAGGCTTGAAGAGCCCTTCATCCAGCAGTGGAATGAACATGGCTGATGGTAATGATAACACAGTTGTTGAAATCGTGAGGAGAAAAATTGCAGATATGCATCAGTGGCAATGTGGTGCAGCGTGTGCTTGTGTGGAGACGACGAGATGGAAGTATAGAGGTGTGGTATTACATTGTTGGTGAAAGACCCAATGCAGAGGATCCCTGGGGTTTAAACTTTCCACAAAGCTCATGGTTCACCCTAAAAGGCATCTGCACAAACCATGGCAGATGCGAGTACCTGATGGACAACCGTAAAATGTAAACTCTCAAGTGCGCGACTGCGGTCAACCAGAACAGACTGTACAGCGGAAACGACGCAATTCCCCGATCCACAAATACCGAGGAGACATCACAGCGATACACTCCGCTGTTCCTGTCCGGCTTGACCACCTGAATGTGAAATTAAATTATAGTTGTTGCTCTGCCATCGACATCAGCCATATGAAAAAAGAAGATTACATTGCTCACCTTGTTATGGACTAAACATCATCAGCATCAACACAGGGCTTGAAATTTATATATATATATTTTATATATATACCAATGATGGAAACAAAATAATAATCATTTGAACCCTAATAAAAATGCTCAGCCATTTGTCATCCACTGCTGGATGAAGGCCTACTCACGCCGTGTGAGCCGTGACAGTTGTCCCAGCAAACTTCACACCGCGTGGTTTAGTGTGACTTGGTGAAGTGAGGCAGGACCAGGATCGGTTCCGATATCACTTGCCACCGGTTATTAGCAGTTGTCTTGGGAACAGAGCTCAAGTCACGGGGGTCCATAGTCCAGCGTGCTCGCCACTGCCGTCACACGCGGTAAGCAAGACAGTCATCCAATAACGCTATTGTTATAATATATTCTATTGTTATAACACATTTATATTCTATTGTTATAAGACATTTATATTATATTGTTATAATACATTTATATTCTATTGTTATAAGACATTTATATTCTATTGTTATAACATTTATATTCTATTGCTATAACACATTTATATTCTGTTATACCATATTTATATTCTATTGTTATAATATATTATATTGTTATAACACATTTATATTATATTGTTATAACACATTTATATTCAGTTATACCACATTTATGTTCTATTATTATAACACATTTATATTATATTGTTATAACATATTTATATTCTATTGTTATAACACATTTATATTCTATTGCTGCGGGGCACTTGGTGGGGGGGGGGGGGATCAACAGAAATACGATATTGAGATGTAACCACGTGTTCTCGTTTGTTCACCATTTACTTCTGGGTGCTGTCCGGTTGCTTAGTGACATGTGTGAGGTCACGTGACGTAACTGAAGAGCACGTGCCATTCCTCCATCTATCTCCCCTCACCCCACCCCCTCTGACCCCCCCCACCCAACCCCCCAGCCAACTGTTAACCCCCTGGCCAAACTCACCTTTGCCCCCCATCCCTAATACCAACTTGGACGGTGGAGAGCAGTGGTGGGCCCCCCTCCCTCCCCTATACACTCCGAGTGAGATGACAGAGGAAGAGATAGAGATGTAGGGAGACGAGAGAGAACGAAAACAGAGAGATGTACTGAGACCAGAGAAGAGAGCTGCAGACAAGAGACGAGCGAGACTTTTTATTTTGTAAATGCCAATTTGATGTTTTTATTTATTAGCAAATGAATTCTCGCTGATATTTGGTGCATCCCTATATTTTTTCTACGAAACCAAGTCTCTTTAAGCTACTTGTGGAACTGCGAAGCATTTTGCTGAGTTCGCTTATGCTTTGCACCACCACCGATGGATGGATGGATTTGTCTACTGCGATGTATGGGGTGTGTTGGCAGGGTGGGTCCAGATTCGGACAAGTGTGGCCGGTAAATTTACGGCCTGATTGATGTTAAACTCTGCCGATAGATAAGCAGCAGGTACCTTTTACACCCGGTGATTGATCCGGGTGCCACCCTTCACCCTGCACTTACATCCCAATCAAGCGTTTCCCTATGCTGGGTGCACAGTCGTTTGTTTTCATTTCCCCACCCCACCGCCCTCCCCCCCTCCAAAAAAAAAGGTAATGTAAATAGATGGCCAGGTATATTATGCGGTGGCTGCGACTTGTCAGAACGCTGGCCTCACAATATTGGGACCTTGGTTCAAATCCACGCTTCGGGCATCCGTAATGGAAACAGAATTTATTCGATAATGTAGCGAGGTCGTGGTCTCAGCCCAGCCGCCAATGTCTGCCAAAGCACGCAAACCTGTGATGTGACGAAGAGCCCCTTTGTCAATCCACGGCTGAAGGAGGCTCTCGGGCACGCGGTGTCAGTCGTAAGGGTTGCGTGGCCAACATTATACCATGTTGATCAATGTGGGATTGGTACAAAAACATTTACTCGTGGTATTTACTTGCCATATTCCATATTTCTTCGGCATGCCTCGCCCCCCAGCACCTCCGAATCTTTCCCGCCACCTCCGATTAGCAACGGTGGGCTACACGCGGTGCGAAAGAAGTTCAATGTACGGTACATAGTACAGCTCTCACCACCAACGTTTTCACCGTGGTTGTTTCCTCGACGATCTGTACGTGAGCGTAACCGTGACGCCCCGGCACGCCTATGGCACGGGAAGGAAGTGTGCGTGCTCAAATTCAAGACAAATTAAACAAAACGTGCTGTTTACAGAGTGCTTCTGCAACCCTGTGGTGGATGAAGTCTTTACTTACGGGTAATTATAAACCACTCCAGCGCTGTCCTACCAGACAGTCTCGTCCCTTCACCTGATGAAGGCCGCTTGTGTTGTGGCCGAAACGTCGTGAGAATATTATTGTTATTTTATTTGATCAATTTATTATTTTATTCTCATTCTACGTGACTTTACCGAAATAACCAAAGAAGAATTATAAACCAATTAACCGCACGTATAACATTTCATTATTTATCACATGATGCGTTCACTGATATTAATGTGTGACGCCGAGTTAATTTTTCTCGCTTCATTTTTCCCACCCCCACACATGTACTGTGTTGTAGCTTGTCAAAACGAGGGAATTTACACAAAAAGCTGGGTTTTTTTTTAGCAGAACACATGCCAGTGACAGCCTAAGCAGCTGGCCCATTCACATACTGTGCATGTAAATCCCAATGGGTTCCAATCGGTTAGACCACCACCACTAAACCCAGGAAACTGGGGCAGGAACTCAAGAAACAGAGGCACAGAAATATTGAACCGTCCCGCAGGCAAGGCCGAGTCTACTTTTGGAGAAAAGCGGGGTGGGGTGGTGGAGGGAGAGGGTTTGAACACAAGGATCCTATAACCCATTAGCGCAGTGTTCTTCATTGCAAGGCCCGTGGGCCACTGGCAGCCCCCGGTGGCCTTTAGTGCAGCCCCCTGACAATACAGAAAAATGTGAGAACGCCCCTTGCAGGCGAGTCTGGCGGCCCTCACGCTGATGATGTCTTATCGGCGAAAGTGCCCCCCCCCCCCCCCCCCCGAAAATTAGCTTTGCAGACTGTTAGAGCAAGTGTTATTAATGAGTAGCTTTTAAGAGCAGCACTGAAAACGTGGGTTCAAGTCCAGGCAGCCGCTTGTGATGATAACCGGTCACTAAAGTGTGGCGAGTTGGCATTGGAGCAGCTTGGCCATCACCGATGAATACTCAGAGGTCGCGTGAATATATCTCAGGGATAGTTCAGTGGTAACCGCTTTTGTGGGCCGTTCGCTAACACGAAGGGTATTTGCGCTGCTCTGCCAGATTTTCGAATGGATTCATGTCCTCGTGACTTTGAAGCTGAAAGTCAAATACAGATAAATTGGGAACAAATATATCTTAAAACGTTTAAAAATATATATATTGGAGTGTGGTCTCTACCATGCACACCAGCCAACTTTGTGTCCCGGACGCTGATCACAATGCACTTAGTACTCATTTAAGGTCGAGTTGACCTGCAGAAGGTCAAGCCCAACTGCAGATACCAATTGCCACTGGAGTGAATTGGCAGAAATCAAGACGTAGGTTAATGGGATCGTAGTCCATTGTGCTAACCACTACGTCACCGTCGAGGACCACGGTGTGAAGGATGCAGCCTATTTGTTCAACCATAGTCTGGGTAAACATTTACGTAAAGATATTACCGTACTAAAAATTGTTATGATGTTAAATTCGGAGTCATTTTAAAATGTATCATTCGGGCTCTTAGTAAAACAAAAAGTGTAAGTGATTCCCTGCTCCAAGGAGCAGAGGCAGTGCTCATCTTGTTCACAGCCCTCACTGAGCCAGTGGTGGAAATTCCACGTTCCTGTGGTAGGGCCGAGTCTATCAGGAAGCACAACAAATTGACTTCCCCACAAAGTGGTACCTATTTTATCAACCCCAGACGAATAATGGGCTGAAGTCAATCCCCAACCAGGATTTGGAACTCACAATCTTCCGATGGCGAGGGCTATTACATGAACAAAAACTCATATGGTGGCTGCTTCATTGTAAAGAAGTGAGTGCAGGTTGACGTTAGCTGAACGTTTCTAATCGATGCGAGAGCCTTGTTGCTCATTCTCAGGGGTACTCGGTCACGATGCTCAGATATACAGTACAATGTGTTCATTAAGTGAGGGCTTTCAGCAGGACCAGGCAAGGACTTGCAACACATTCAATCATCACATTTCTCAGTTTATTGTACTCATATTTTGTTAGAGAATACGAATGAAACAATCTTAGTCCCTAACTTATTAAGACAGGCATTTTTTCCCCATGATACACATTACATAAGCTAGTCTTAATTCCGTATTCATTAGATCTTTCTGTATTCTAAATTAATTAAAAGGATCACTTAATGATTACAGGGGAAAAATATAAAATATATTCGCAATATTTTAACAGGTGCAACCGGATTATTGCAAATTCCAATGATATTCTGTGATAGATACTTTCAAAATAATCGTGTAAAATGTTATTTTATAGGCAGCCCTTTTTGTCTTAAGTGTTTGCAAAAGTCAACCATGAATCCAAGGCTTGGTATAGCTCACAACAGCTAACGTTGTGGGCACAGAACATAAGCAAAAAAAAGATAAAAATGTATTTCTCATTGTTCAGATTTGTTTTTATGTCTTGTTGGTTTTCAATGTGATGGCACTTTGAGTGGCAGATCTGTTCCAGAAAGGTGCCACGTATGTACAAAAAAAATACTTGACTTGAAACATTTTTTTTATTCTTAGCTGCTTCACTCAAATAATCCAACTAAACTCTCCCATGATGTGTGTACGGGTTGTACCGTGTGCTGTCTTCGATGCCTCACGTTTCGCTCCACGTGCCGGTACTGGAACTCCCAGTGCGATGTTGTGAAACGTCGGCCAAACGACACACTACAACACAACTCCGGAAAGCCCACGTGGCAAGGTGCCAACCGTTCATTGCAACAAAAAACCTTGCATTCCTGTAGCAGGTAGAAAATTTAGAAAGGATCTCCTGGGTATCTTGTTTTAATCGGATTAGAATGTGAATTTAAATGGAGAGACGCTTTGCTTTGACTGTAGTCTGTAAAACACATAGCCACTTTTTTTCGGATTAAGTCACTAAAAGAGTTTGTTGTTACAGAAGACTAGGAAACTGGCTTTCGTGGCGCTTTTGAAGATCAAAAAATATTCGGTCCATATTGACATCCTCACTTGATCAATAACATTTCACATGTCTAACCTGTCAGGTTCGCGACAGCAAAACGTTATCGGCAGTTAGATAAAAAGGGCGGTGCAACTCACGATGACCGATTCGGTTGAACACTAAGCGAGGGAATGACACAAAATGTAAGTGGCACCGATGATTGGTAACTATGATTGGTAATTCACAGATATTTCTTCATTGCAGGCTGTCGTACACCAGCTTGGCTGCAACAGCATCCTCCACTGCCAGCCCTGCACACACCAAAGGTATAGATTTGTAAAAGGTAAATGTGCAGCTCACGCCACTGCTGGTGGAAGGATCTCCACGAGAGGAAGCTCGAGTCCAGGGGTGCCCAACCCTCGGGCCGCGGGCCGATACCGGTTCGTGGCCTGTTAGGAACCGGGCCGCACAGCAGCAGGAGGTGACAGCGGTGAGTCCGTGCTTGGCCCGCCCCCATTATTTTATTATTCACCACTTCCGTCCGCGCCTCTTTCCCGCACTGCGCACTTGTCTCAGTCACGTGGTGTTGGTAAGCCCACAAGCTCTAACCCCTAGTAGCCACAATGAGTAAAAAACAAACGTCGCTGGAGAGCTTCTTTGAAAAGGGGGAAAGACCCAATGATGAACCCCCCCTCCCCGGTCCGTGAGTAAATAGTCTTCCACGAAACCGGTCCCTGGTGCCAAGAACGTTGGGGACCGCTGCTCTAGAGGGTATTTGGCCTACCCGTCCATGCTTGACCAGACACCCCCACTATGCGTGTCTTGCCGATCGACTGTGGTTGTGCCGATTAATACCACTGGGTGGGCACAGGTAGAAGGATTTAACGAACATGCCCCCCCCTCCCCACCCGTTGTTTAAACGCTGGAAGATGAAATTGAACTAATGACCTTTGGATTTCAGTGCAGTGTGCTAGCCATTAAACCACGGCAGCTCTCTTACGGATTTCGTAGAACAACAAAATACGGTGAATTCACGGGCAGTGCATAATTTATGGGCATAGGCCAGAGAGAAGGGGGGCATTCCAACGTTGGTCCAACGTTGGCACGTGGTTGGAACCATTGGACAAAAGTTCGTGCAACATTGGCCCCGACATTCCTTGTTAAGTAAGGATATGAGATTACATATTGGCGAGGTATAAACAGTGGGTGGCTTAAAAACTATTTAGGAATGTACTGCCTCTTGCAAATGCACTGGTGGAAGGCCTCCTCTCTGTGATATCAGTTTGTTTACACATACTTCACCACGAATGTCACTGCGTTTGTCAAGGAGGACCCAGGACTGGTGGTATATCACTCGCCACCGATGTTTATCGTCACCGGGATTTCGACTTGGTTTGTTCGTTTGGGAGGCCTTCACTTTCCCCTTTAGAATGGCGCCACGCGTTATTTACAACGCGGTGATACAAATTACGTTAAGGGTGCGAATGGACGTGGGGGGGGGGGGGGTTTACAGATTGAGCAACGCGACAAGACTGGCGGAGGAGAGAGAACGCCAATACCCTTGAGAAGTGTTGACAGCACTCCCATGCCATCGTCTTGACATCGGAGGTACACCGAGGACCTCTAGTGGTGTGCATAGCTTCAAGCAGTAGCAACAGGAGCAGCAACAGCAACGCTTTATACCGTTTCTGTGTTGTGACTTGACCACTCGCACACAAATCCGTGTCCTCGTGCTCAACCCTGGACTGTATTAGGGCTCATCTGTATTCCCAAGCTCTGTGCTTAGTGTTGGGAATTCCACATTTTAATAGCAGGGTCCAGTATTAACATTGGACAACTTCTGTTACTAGTTGTTAAACAAAGTTAAGGTTATGTTGAGCCAATATGCCACTGATTTCCACCCCACACACCATCGCTGACTGCACAAGTCAACAACCCAACCACCGAGGTCTGCTGTCACAGTCTCCCACCGTCTGGCTGCAGGTCTTCCCCACGTTTAGTGATCTCTGAGTGCCACTCCAAATACCTGTCTTGGCAGTCCACCCTCTTCCATCCTGCACATATACATCGCCCATCCCAACCTCCTAATTACACGTACACCGTCTTCTTGTCACCAGTTCTAACATAAGATTATTTGTCTGCTATACATTCGCACGTGATAAGCCACTTCGTTGAGCTATCAATTGTGGTCAAGCCGCTTCTGAAAAAGAGATAGCTCAGTAGGCCTTACCTGCTAAAAAGAATAAGGTTGAGTAGTATATATTATCAACTTTCACGTTACCATATCCTCCCATAAAACGTGTAACAAGAAGCATCTAAATACAAAGGTAAAGTCATACCTGTCAACCCCTTATCAGTGCCCTACCTTATTACAGACCAATTCAAACCGTATTGGTCACCCAATGTCCTTATAACTCTCAACGTTCATCTTACAAAGTCCCATCAGGCGCACTTTTTTAAAGCTTTGGATGCCTAAGCAGATGCGTCTGGTGTGGGAGCCGATTCACCTCTAATTTTTCCACAAATTATTTAATTTCACTCGTCCGTTATCCTCTGCATATTTAACTATCGACGTTATTCACAGCCATCCCCTTGTTGAACTCGTGAGGGCTGCCGATCTCAACTGTGCGCCTGTGCTCCTTTGAAGGTGCCTTCAGCAAACCTGTCAACCCATTATCAGTGCCCTACCTTATTACAGACCTATTCAGACCTTATTGGTCACCCCGTGCCCTTATAATTATCAATGTTCATCCTACAAAGTCCCATCACAAGGGAGAAACACAAACAAATAAACCAATAAAAAACGCGCCCGTACTGAAACGGCTACACGCCGTATGGACCTGAAAACTAAATTTCCATGGTTCAAGAATACGGGTAAACCGTATGGGTTGACAGGCATGTATAGTATCATGCCATAATGTAGCTTTACTTCCATGAAAAACATTTTAATGTCCAGCTCTCTGACTCCACGATGCTTTATTACTTTAGCAAATGCTTTACAAATTGCATAAATAAAACTGAAAGCGTATAAGTAAATATGGGAGAGTCCCTGACTTATGAACGGATTCCGTTCCTGAAACCCACTCGTAAGTCGAACGGTTTGTAAGTCGGAACAATAATGTTTTATATATGTAAATGCCCATATGGTCAGTGTAATAAAATGTGTTACTGTTCAAAAAAAAGGGAAGCATTTTTAAACTCATAATAAATATTGTACAGTTGCATATAATAGTGAGATAAATACTGTATCGTAAATAAATCATTAAAATAAAGTAACATGAAAAGAAAAAAAAATCTGTTTTATTTTCACTTACCTTGAGTCCTGATGCTGGTCTGAATGGGTGTAATGAGTCCCCACACACACACATGGGGGGACAAAAATCTCCCGTGCAGCCTTAAGAGACTGCTTGGGCAAGTGCTGTTAGCAAGCACTAATGAAGGCCGACACGGCCCACGAGGGGGAGGGTGGCCAGAACCATGCCTGGTTGCCTTTGCCTCCTGTTCACACACCACACACCAGCTACTCATTTCAGATTGAGTCGACCTAGGGGAGGCCCAGGACCGGCTCAGATAATCGTCACTGCTGTTGGCCGTGAGCAGGAATCGAACTCAGCCCCACGGGTTTGTAGCGCATCGCACAAACCACTGCTCCACCGCTCCCCTCGCACACACACACACACACTTTCAGACACACGTGTGTGCGCGCGCAAACACGCACCCAAATACTCACTCCCAGCGGGATGCTGGGACACAGTATATCTCGCGGAGGATCGCTCCACTGAACAAAATAGTTCCACGGTTCGGTTTGCAATTGCGAGTTTGCGTTCACACATCCGATGGTTAAAAAATGAACATCTATGGAAGCTCGTTCGCAGGTGTGGATGTTCGTAAGTCTGGCGTTTGTAAGTCGGGAACTGCCTGTAAACAGATGATTAAATATGAAAAAAAGTGATACTCGTTTTAATTGACCTCAGAGGGACAGTGGGCTGAGTTGACTGCTAAGCGGAATTTTGAATTAACAAATTTGCAATTGCCGGTTAAGTTGCCTTTGGAATATGGAACATTACATAACCTACACCTGAAGCTCAGCATTAAACAATAATCCCATACTTCTCCTTAGCCACTTCAAAATCCTACCGCTAACAAATGGCCCATTATCCTAAACGTTACAAGGTAATATGCTTGCCAATGATAATGGGGATGAAAGTAATTTCGGCGACTGCCAACACAAGTCCTTGAAATGTAATTAGAAATTATACAAAATGCTCGAAATTCAAGCGCTCACATTTAAAATAGGACGTGCTTATTACACATCGGATTAACATAACGTGATCAAAGAACATTTAATGTACGCCTAGACCAGCAACATAAATTGTGCTGAACTCTCATTAATGTGAAATAAGGGGATGGCATCTATTATGGCAGCGCTGAATGTACTGATGTTCTATTATGTACGCGCGTCCATTCATTCGGTTATTCGTTACCACCCCTCCATTATACCAGGGCCTCGTTGGAAAACTCAATGAGCCATTAAAACCTCAATCTGACCATCAGATGGTGGCATCTAATGGGTTTGGCAATGAGACCCATGCAGTAGAGGAATCTGGTGCGATATGATATATCTGTGATATGCTCTACTGGATTATATGATCCATTATCTGGCCGCGTCGATGCTGGAGCAGAGTGGACGACGTTTAACTGAAAACGTACGTGTTCATATCCAAGTAAGGGTTTGACTGAGCTCATTATTTATCATACAATGACGATTAACACCTTGTGAGAAGTCGACAGTGGATGTCATGTGTAGATAAGGGCTCCTGCAAGAGGAAAACTGAATTTATACCACTGACTTTGGTCTGCCAAAGAAAATTAGAATGTTCCAGTGGGCTTTTAAAGTGGGGAGACTTGACTTTTTTTAATTATTGACTTGTTTGTGTATGTGTGTTGACACACTCCCTGCTTCTGTCAAACTGGACACACAGTTCAAGTTTAAAACGGAGGAATGTCTGAACAAAATCCACATATGTGCAGTTAAATTCACATGGGGATTTTTCAAATGATTGCCATCAACCACCTCCATCGTGGCACACCTCGTGAGATAACTACTTTACAATGTGTATGTGGAGACACAGAACAGAGTTTACGCTTACGTTTAATTCGATTGCTCCGGCCAACAATGTTCAATAACCCAGCAGCATTTGTTTAACAAGAATGACTGCCGAGGAGGCCAAGTAAATCCGTTTTGCTTTGCTTATTGGAGACAGAAAATGGCGTTTTGCTTTGACATACTTTCCTTGAGTCGGTTTTTCAAACATCACTGGAATTTGCCATCACGCCTGATGCTAAAATGCAGCGTTAAAGGTGGGTTTGGGAAAAGCTCCACAAACGGCAAGATGAGGAGTAATGGGTGTGTGCGGATTTCAGTTAAGAGTGGGCCCTGGGAAATCCTTGCCTTGTGACCTCTTAACGACCACCACCTGAGCAAGGGCATTGAACTCACCTTGTGATTTAAACACCGTGGTCTTCTCTCGATGAGCGGGTTTGGAGCCATTAATCACTTCTCCCAGCTCGGCAAAAATGTTGGCCTGCACCGACGCAATACGGCAAAGGGCGTTTCACAGTGTTCAGCCGAAAATATTTAATAAACCCGTTACCCTTACTCGGTAAAATAAAGTCACGTAATTACATTACCAAAGTGATACAACTCAGTGTTGATATGTGAAATCCATCCTATGAGGGGATTGTTATGTAAAAAGGACAGTCTTCTTTGGTTCTTTCGGTAAAGTCACGTAGAATGAGAATAAAATAATAAAATAACACAATAAAATTCTCACGACGTTTCGGCCACAACGCAAGCGGCCGTCTTCGTCCCGACAGTTCTGTACTTTTCACCTGAAGACGGCCGCTTGCGTTGTGGCCGAAACGTCGTGAGAATTTTATTGTGTTATTTTATTATTTTATTCTCATTCTACGTGACTTTACCGAAAGAACCAAAGAAGATGAATCCTTGCAGTAACGAAAGCTTCAAATCGAAAAAAGGACAGCCCTTTATCAATACACTGCAGGAGAAAGGCTTCTCTACATGCCGTGTCAGTCACGGAGTTGGTTTGCCCATATATAACCACATTGGTCAGTATGGGGTGTTCATGACAGGGCCAGCTAGTTCATATATCATGAATCGATTGAATCGGAATCTTAATTTATTCGAGAGGAATCCGATGAGCTATAAAGCTCTTTTTCACAGATGTGCAGTTGGGGTGGGTCAGCAAGAGTGAAAAATAGAGAGAAGGTAAGCAAGTCACTAAATCATTAAAGAAAATAGATTAAGTATATATGTACAGATTTCAGAAGTATGTAAACTCCTGTAGATTTTTCAACACGAAATACAAGCTTGGGCAAGGGGAGAAAAACAACAACAAAAGCAGTCCCAAACCATACCAAGACAACACACAGTCCCTCAATTAGATTGCACATTACATTTTAACTTTCGATGCATGGTTAAGGACCAAAGTTACAAGTCACATTTGCAAATGTGGTTAAACCCCGACACTAATCACATGCTTCAGGATATATTTTGAAGGGAGATATACGGCGTTAAGGGAAGAAACGAGGTTGTTTCCATCGCTGGTAGCAGCGACAGACGGGTGATGAGTTGACGACTGACCACTGCTGGTGAGTGAGCGGAGTGATCACTTATCACTCCAGTGTGGGGAACGCTAGTGTAGCGGTTTGCGCTATGCTATGCTACGAACCCGGCGACCCGAGTTCGATTCCCGCTCACGACCAACACCAGTGATGATTATCCGGATGGGTCCTGGGCCTCCCCTAGGCCGACTCAGCCTGAAATTCATATCTGGTGCCGTTGGTGAACAAAGGCAGCCAGGTGTGGCGCTGGCCACCCACCCCCTCGTGTGCCATGCCACCCTGCATAGGTGCTCGCTAACGGCATTTGTCCCAACAGTCTGATAAGGCTATGTGGGGTGGGGTGGAGGGGGGATCTTAGTCTTTAGACGTGACCGCTGAGAGCCGCATACCCCGCTGAGAATGATGTCGCCAGACTCCCGGCTCGCTGCCTCTCGACAGTCGACGTAAATCACGGCACTCTGCATCAGGTCGTCGTCCACCTCACGCCAAGTCGGTCGGTTCGCTCCCACCACTGGGATAAAGAGGAAATAAATCGTTCAGTGCGACATCTTAAACTCTACCGAGATTTTGATGTAAAGCTCTCGTGACTGCAGTGATTCATGTTCTTGGTTCTTTCGGTAAAGTCACGTTGAAGGGAAAGAATAAAATAATAAAATATATATATAAAACAATAAAATTATCTTTTTCGAACATAGATGGACTCGTCCTTCTAAACAAACTGTCAAATCGCTATCCGTGGCGCTAACGGTTTCAAAAAAAAATAAGCGTGAAACGGTCAAAAAATAATTAAATAAATAAATTTGTACGGCGTTTGGAAATAAATTAAGAAATACAAACCACCACTTCTTTCAAATGCTTCTTGCCGTTGGTTTTTCACACCTGATGATGACTGTTTGTGTTACAGTCGAAACGTCGTGAGAATTTTATTGTTTTATATATATTTTACTATTTTATCGTTTCCCTTCAACGTGACTTTACCGAAATAACTAAGAATATGTATATATCTACCGCGATTGTTTCGCTCGCAGAGCGCCGCTGAGTACAAGCCTCTATCAGATGTGATCTATCCGCCTCAAGGCATCACAATCCCCTTATGGTCGCGTGACGCAACAACACATCTGGCTCCTATTTACAAGCTGATCTCATCATTCCCATTCCTGAGTGGAAACCTCTACATAGTTCTACAAATATTGGAAATTTCATTTTTGATTGATAGAGTGTAACGCACCGGTACAAAATTCCCTACTCGGCGAGAGTTACGTCAAAGCATGTTTGAATGTTGGAGCACTGCGGCATTGAGCGCTTGACTCACAGGCAGTTGCAAAATTAAATCCTCTTTGCAAGTAGGCTCAGCCCCTCACTTCTCTGGGTCGATGAAGTGAGTACCACTTTGTGTAATCTCCTTCACTGGCTTAAGGCCACAAATGGTGATGAGCTCGATGCTATGTGTGCTTAAAAATGTCAACTTTGGATAATTATATGGATAATAGTAATTTATTTTATTCAGGAATACTTTTGACTTTTCAGAAGTTTAGGTGCTCAACTTTATATCACGAGGCACAAACTCTTCCACGAATAACAATTTACCACTGGTTAGTTCCTTGCCAAGCTGAGCCAGAACCAAACCATCATACGCTGACCTCACAAGACATCTGAATCTGGCTCAGGGCCAAGTATGGCTAGGGGCAGAGTTAATAATAATTTCCATCGTACGTTGCGTGCACCGGTTTCGAAGCATTTAACACCCAACGCCACTTTGTCATTGTGCGAAGCTTTAGCTGGCACGATTTTTTTTTTTTCCTTCTGCGGTGGAAAAATAACCTGGCACCTCCTGGGCCATGCCGGGGCTGACTCAGCACGGCCTTTGCCACGGCTCGGTCGTGCAGTGGAAAAGCGGTGATAAGGGGACGAGAGACAGCGACGGCACCGGCCGACCCTCCGGTCCCACGCCTCCTCCCTCACCATTGACGAGTGCTCCGGGCTTGACCCAGGCCCCGCGGAGAACGGGGTCCGTCGCCATGGTGACCGTGACGATGACGTCGGCGCCTCGAGCCGCCTCCTCGGCGGAGCGGCGCGGTGTCACGGCGCCCCCGGCAGCGCCGGCGAAGCGCTCGGCACTCTCCCACGTCTGGCTCCACACGCGCACCTGCGGTAGTGGGCAATGGGCAGAGGAGGTGGCCCACCACCCCCAGAATCCACGACGACATCGTAGGCCGTCCATAAATGACGTCACGCGATTTTGGACGATTTTTGACTCCCCCCCCCCCACCCCCATCGTCACACGGCGTCACAAAAAGTCAGACCCCCCTCAAATATGACGTCACAAAGCTCTGCCCCCCCCCCAAAAAAAACATGCTTCAAATCGCTTTAAACTATTGTCATTGTAGTGCGTATTTAATGTGGTGCTTCACTCTGATGTTGTAGGAGAAAACATTTATTAAAAAGTCTATTTAATTAAGTAGAACGTGTTGTCTATATTTATTTAAAGTTGCGCATTGTGATGTGACGTCACAGTTCTCAAACCCCTCCCCCCCCTCGTCACACATCGTCACAAATGTCTGACCCCCCCCCCAGGTGTGTGACGTCATTTATGGACGCCTTTTTGTGGAACATTACGTAGGCCCCCCGTTAAGAATTAGTGCATGAGCCCGTACCAGATGTTTCGCTTGTTGGTTACTCCATGAGGTGGCGCAAACTTCAGTGGTTCCAATGTATTAATGTGGCCGACAAAAGTGAATTATGTGAAGACTACAGTGGTCAGCGGTAAAAATAAATAAGCGTTACGTTTTTCTACCTCAAGTGGTACCGATGTCTGCTCTGGCCCATGCACTACCTTGGCAGCTGACCCCACATCCTGCCTCCTGAAGGCGCGCAAGCCATGGGCCGTTCGGCGGCGCATGTGGAAACGGGGGTCATTCTTTTTCTCCAGCTATTTTCGTGCGTTCCCCATTATGTGGTCGCGCAATCAAACTGATAACTGGTAGAGTGATCGTTTGCTTAACTGAAAAAAAAAATCATCTCTGCTTTCTATTTAAATTTGGCCTGTAGCTACCCCCATTGCCGGGCAAAGGTCCCCACAATCGTTTCCCACACTCACTGCTGCCGAGCTCCTCCTCAACAAGCAGCGGCTCCTTTGTGCACGTTGCTAAAATCTCGTCTCGCCAGCTCCTTGTTCTGGCATCCTCTGTTCCTTTTTCCCATCGAGTGGTGTCCAGTCTCTCGTCGGTGTTGGCCCATCAGTCATCCGTTCAGTATTTCCACGCGGCCTGCCCATTTACATTTTAACAGTTTTTGCCCCGATAATTAACGCCTGTCACTTGTGTAATTCCTCTCATTGTATGAATCATGATTCTGCCTCGTCTTGTTACGTTCAACAGAGGCTTTATCCCACGGCTCTTTGACCCACTGCACTTGTAGTTTTTATTTTCACGCGTTTATACAAATAGCGCGGCATACTGTAAATGTAATATATACTTTATTTGACCAGAAAATGGTGTGTGTTCATAATGAATACTTCCGTAAGTAAATATCGACTGGTTCATATCCCCTTGTCCACGGGGGTTTATGCTTACTCATTAGGGCTAGCATCTCCTTTTCTAGATTTAAAGCTTTCGTGACTGCTAGGATCCATACTCTTTGGTTATATTGGGTAAAGTCACGTAGGTGAAAATAAAATAACAAAAAATCACGACGTTTCGGCCACAACACAAGCGGCCTTCATCAGGTGAAGGGACGAGACTGTCTGGAGGACAGCGCTGGAGTGGAAGAAGCCACGCTTAGATCACGACCTTTAAGCTGTGTGAGAATAAAAAGACCAAACGCCTTGACAAAGGAATTAGCATATAATTTAGCATTGAAATGGCTCATTGAAATAGCTAAGTTAAAGTATACACATAGCATCTCCTGTCAGCCAAATAGGGAGACAATAGTCCGAGATAGGGGATGGGAGGGGCCAACGGTTATTTTTTTTAATTCATGAGTTATCGGTAATTGGAGGTGGACTACTTTTTTAATTTATCCCTCCTAATGCCGTGCATATCCTGTACTTGCAACGTGATGCATTCGCAGTGATACGGTCATTGCGCACTGAAAACCGTGTTGCAAACTGAACGCGGTAGAGACAATGCCAGTCATTCTTGAATCCATTCACTCTCCATTCCACCGTTTTGAACATACTTGACAGTCACCATCGTTTTGATGCGACAGATGATGGTGATGACGATGATGAGACTTGGTGGCATTATTCACGAGAGTCTCTCGTTGTACGCTGATGTGATAACCAAGCTCCCCATGCGAGCACTACAGTCCCTTCCCTTCACGCTTGCCAGTGTTAAGACGTCCCTTTGCTGAGTGAGCAGCGATCTCTTTTCTAACAGCCACGCTGCTAATAACCGGCAAGTGAGCGACTAATTAAAAAGTAACATGGGGAAGCCGAAGCGATGAGCTGAGGGGCAGCGGTTCAACTGCAGGGGACAATGCTGCTGTCAAATCCCCAAGGTCCAATCGTAACGTATTATCGCACATCTCGCAATCATCAGCAAACAAGGCTTAATCAAGGTCTCTTAGGGCAGCTGATGTACATTGTAATTGGGAAAGTCCAAAAGGCCAATGGGTTTCCAGCAATGTTCCTCCTTCAAATTAATCTTGCCTAGGCCACCTTCTAAACCCACTACAAACACGTGTTAGGCACGGCATTGCCATGTGACCATGGAATTGCATTGTGGAGCTCTGCAAGTTCGTGCTCATGCCACTACGCGTGAAAGGGCCTCCACTACAGGAAGCTCTACAGAATATTTAGGCCTACACCACCACGCTGGCCATATTTCTTAATTTTTTGGAAGTGGTGGGCCTTTACGCCGACCGCACGTGACCTGCCGATTGAATAGCTGCAGGCGGACGGGGGGAGGAACTTTAGAAACTTGCGCCATTGTTTCATCTGCCGCCCTGGGAGCAGGTTTACATTTCAGACACCTCCTCTCTGTTTATCGCTGTAAACGTTGCTTCTCACATTTCCAGTGGAGATGACACAGTGAGCCGTGCGAGAAAAACTCTCGTGTAGAGGAAGCGACAGCCGCATTCAAATTAAACATGCAATTCCAAGCGCGTCGGATGGGTTCCCCACTGTGTGTCATTACAGGCACTATGATCAGAGTTGCCGAAGTGACGGTGCAATGGTCAGCATATTGCGCCACAAAGCCAGCAACCTGAGTTGCTTTGCGGGTTGAACTAAAGTTGATGAAGAAGGGAGGAGGCCTGGGACCAGTTCAGATATCACTCGCTACCGTTGATAGCTGTGGCCAAGAATTGGACCTCACTTCACCGGGTTTGTAGTGTAGTAAGCTAACCATTACCCTACCGCTCCACCCGAATATAGTGAATGACATATTTGAATGATGGTGATGACGATGAGGATTATGATGATGAATCCTACAGCATTGTCATCGGTGCAATGACAGCAGCGGAGGATGAGGGGCGTTCTCTGCTGTAGAGTTCAACCGAAGTTGCTACAATGAAAAATGTAGAATTATAGACCAACCTCATCGAAGTGAAACATCTGCATGAGGACTTGGTAGTGGCTGTGAGCCTGAGCCCCAGCCCCCAAGATGCACAAGATTCGGGATTCAGGAGGTGACAGATACTGCAGGACACATGCGGGTTAACAATCAATTAAAAACTATTAAACTTTGTTTTTACCAGGTAAGGCTCACTGAGCTATGTAGCTCTTTTTCAGAAGCGAACTGGCCACAAATGATAGCTCAACGAAGTGGCTTATCACGTGTAAATTTATAGCAGACACATACTCTAAACGCATGTTTATAAATGTGGAGGGGAAAACCTGATAAAAATCCACGCGACCACAGGGAGAACACACAAACTCCAAATATACAGCAGGCGTCAGGGTCGGGATAGCATCCACGACCTCCTGTATACCAGGCGAGGTAGTTAACACATCGCCACCTTGGCGCCCAATACACGATTACCGCACACACAATGTATGAATATAAACGTAAGTTATTGTGTAATTCAGGAACACTTTAGGCTCAGGTGATTATTGATACTCCAATTATGTAACTTTATGTATACATATAAAACAGGATTATGGGATAATGGAATTGTTACATTGTCATGAATTGTCAAAAATGTCAATGTAGTTTGGAAATGGGTGACATTCGCAAGATGGCTTTTACCTTGAAAATCTTAATTTAGCAACATGTAACACGTAAATAAAGCCATGTTAAATAGGACAAATGTTGAAAACTATATTGTGTTACAACAATTTGCACAAATGCAAACTGTAGTTTTTACGAAATTAAATTTAAGGACTCGATGTAAAATTGTCATGTATATTGTTTCAGCAATTTCCGGGTAACTTTTCATTGTTAATTTGCATAACATCTAAAAAGGAATACTTAAATTTTGACATTCTGGCAGATGGTGAGCTTTCATGATCTCCCACAGGCATTGTGAGATGTCAACCGATTGAACCCTTGCAATCTGTCTCGCCAGGGGAAAGTTGTGCTGTTCACTTCTCATAGCAGCGAAAGTTATAAATGTGCTTGGAGCCTTGCACTAATTACTTTTAATAGTACTACTTTTATAACATGAAATATTTACCCTGTGCGCCTTCATAAGTCTGAAAATTCATTTTTCAGAAGAACTTGCTTTGGAATTAGTCATTTTCTATATTTGTAATGGTGTTTAGTGTGTTGCTTTGTGTTTAGTTTGTTGTCCTTCCCCCACACCTCCGAATAGCACGGCTGGCTACGTACGATGCGAAAGAATTTAAACATACGTACATGCATACAGTATCATAATTTTAAACATATCATATACAGATTTTACTCCCTGAACTTTGACCTGGTTATACATACAGACCACCTATTCATCTAATAATTTATTTCACATGTGGGTAGAAACTAGTTTCCAAATAAATCTCTTGCATATAAAGGGATAAGCTAATTCACTTGAGACCCAGATCATGGATCCCAAGTTTGGATAACCTTGCACAATTCACGAAATGTATTAACAATTACCTATTAAAAGTGTAATCATTCTGTGTGTAGCTAGCCGCTGGACGTAAATGGACTTGTGCTCAGCAATCTTGTTTATTTTTAAGCTAAAACCCCACTTGCTGTACTGCCTGCAACAGGAACCTTATTCCCCAGCAAATGCGTATGTCTTGAACACCCACTGCTCCATCCCTGCATGATCCACCAAACCCACCTTCAAGCTGCTGGATGTACACAACTCAAACAACATAGGTGATATTCTTAGCTCTTTCGGTAAAGTCACGTTGAAGGGAAACAACAAAATAATAAAATATATATAAAACAATAAAAATTCTCACGACGTTTCGACCATAACACAAACGGTCGTCATCACACCTGATGACGTCGTCATCACACCTGATGACGACCGTTTGACGGCCGTTTGCGTTATGGTCCAAACGTCGTGAGAATTTTTATTGTTTTATATATATATTTTATTACTTTATTGTTTCCCTTCAACGTGACTTTACCGAAAGAGCTAAGAATATGAATTACCGCAGTCACGAAAGCTTTAAATCAAAATTTAACGTAGGTGATGGCGTGCGTTGTTAAGGCGTTACCTTGGTAGCTATAGCAGATACAGCGGCTGTTCTCATATCCGTAATGATTCTCCCATCCATGATCTAGGAAAGAGCAGAACATCCGCCGTGTATCTACACGAAAGACACATTGGAAGAAGCACAACGTTGCAGTGAAGGTGCACATGTCCGTACTATGCTCATCTCGGTTCACTAATTCAATGTCTGGACCAGTCATTCACAGTCAATTCGTGAAGCAATAATAACTAATGCAGGTCAGATGGGATTGAGCACTCCTCAAATTATTTGTTCAATAGTGTGTGTGTGTGTGATGTTTTTTTCTTCCCCTTCATGATAGTAATAGGGGTGGTGTTGAAAGCTGCCTTATTGATGGTGTTAACATTTGTTTCGTGGTAACAGACTTTTAAGCTTCCTTAGGCCACCAATCATCTTTGCAGCACAGAATAACTCTCCTGGTTGGGATGTTAGTCAGTGAGAACTAGCCAATGAGCTTCTCTCAGCTTGCAGAAAATGTTCCATTTGCCAGGATTTCTAAGAAGACTGGGAACGGTGTATTAATCTTGATCGAATCAGCTATTGGTAGTCCTGAACTTTATCAATTTCTATTTTTAAGAGGAAGGGCTGACTCTTTTTACGTAGCTTACCTGCATAATGGAATTACGGGGTATCAAGGAATCAGAATGGGAGCAATGACCAATGTTCAATTTTCTCAACAGCAGATTCATAACTACAGTGAAGTGACAGTCCATTTCAGGTTTTCCCAATTGTTGGTGAAACATGCAGGTGGTTAAATGTAATCTTTCAATGTGAAATGTCCACATAAAGCACCAGTACACAGCAATTGTCTCCAAACTGGTCGTGATGGAAAAATTACATGGTATAAATCTTGTCATCTTCTGGCAGAGGAAGATATGATAAATTCGTTTCCATTTCGTTGCACTTTTTGAAATTATCTTCCCAAGGAGGGATTTCACCCTATCGAATAGTGTTGCCATCCATCCTGGTTTCTACAAAATATTTCCTTTTTTTTTTAAAGTAGCCGTCTTGGGAAATGGGGCCGTCCATAAATGACGTCACGCGATTTTGGACGATTTTTGACCCCCCCCCCCCTTCGTCACACGGCGTCACAAAAAGTCAGACCCCCCTAAAATATGACGTCACAAAGCTCTGCTCCCCCCCCCCAAAAAAAAACATGCTTCAAATCGCTTAAAACTATTGTCATTGTAGTGCGTATTTAATGTGGTGCTGCACTCTGATGTTGTAGGAGAAAACATTTATTAAAAAGTCTATTTAATTAAGCAGAACGTGTTGTCTATATTTATTTAAAGTTGCGCATTTTCATGTTACGTCACATTTCTCACCCCCCCCCCCCCCCCTCGTCACACATCGTCACAAATGTCTGACCCCCCCCCCAGGTGCGTGACGTCATTTATGGACAGCCCCAATCTAGAAGCCTTAAAGCTCCTGGTTTGTCAGTTGCATAATAATACACCACACCACTCAAGACAATAGATTTGCATGTAGTTAAAACTACATTGTTTTATTTTACCAGGTAAGGCCCACTGAGCTACATAGCTCTTTTTTTAGGAAGCAACCTGGCCACAAATGAAAGATAGCTCAACGAAGTGGCTTATCACGTGGACATTTTTAGCGGCCAAACACTCAAATTATCTCCCTTTTCAGCACTGTCAGATAATATTCTTTCACGTGCTTTGTACCTCAGAGTTAGAAAACCCGACCGCGACGCAGGAAGCTGCTGCCTACTCGCCCAGCGAGTCGACAGCAAACGTAGCAAAAAACAAACACCCCAGAATGCCATGGAGGTACGCACAGCTCGCAGGGAGCCGTTGGCTGGGTCCAGCAGCAGGATCGTGGCCTGGTGGGTGGGAAAGGGCCCTCCGGCGTTGCCGCTGTAAGATGTGACGAGCTTTGTGGCTAGCGCCTCGTCGCCGGCGCTGTAGGCGGGCATCACCAGCAGCCAGCTGACCACGACCGAAAAGATGTTGAGCGATTAGGCTCACCACAGCACGCGAGGACAATGTGCAAGCAGCGGTCCATTTGGTTATTGCACATAACTGCGGCTGATACATTTTGTGGAACCTTACCCACGATGCATTTCTCGCGTTAAAATCTTTCTCTGTTCACGCTTAATTTGAACCAGTTCATACTTTGATTTTAAAGGTTTGTTAGGCTGTTCAACGCTCATTGTTGGGAACACTTTATACGTAAATACAAAACTTGATTTGCCAATGTTCTGAACATTTGTCAGTTTTCTCAGAGCACGATGATCAAATGTGAGCCAATTGTGAGCTGAGCGCTCATCCAGAGTGCCACCAATATGGACCGTGTCACCGGCACCTCACTCAGGGATACCAGTTGTCCTACTTTTCCCCTGGATCATCCTCTTTTTGATGCCACTGTCTTGTAAAATTTGTAAGTGCTCCCAGAACCTTAAGAGCCCCCATTTTTGTCAGGAACCTAAAAATCCACCACTCATAGCAGTGCACATACATGTAGCTCTCTCCCCTTCTGGGATTGTGAGATATTTTATAAACGGTTTCTCTACTTTTGATTTAAAGCTTTCGTGACTGCAGTGATTCATATTCTTGGTTCTTTCATTAAAGTCACGTTGAAGGGAAACAATAAAATATATATATAAAACAGGTGTGATGATGACTGCTTGTGTTGCAGTCGAAACGTCGTGAGAATTTTATTGTTTTATATATTATTTATTATTTTATTGTTTCCCTTCAACGTGACTTTACCGAAAGAACCAAGAATAGGTTTCTCTACTTATTTATTTTATTGACGACGTATACATTTTTTAAACGATACATTCGCTGCGTGCAGTTAGTCTTTATTTTGCTCAGTCAGTATTAGCCGCTGAGGTCGTGATGGGTTTTCTTTTTTTTCTAGTATTGTTCTTCTATACTCCTGTACTGTTCCCGTTCTGTTGTAATGTGCACCGATGCCTTCTTTACTGAGGGCAATATTGCACATATCCGCACCTCCAATTAGTACCATTGGCTGCCGTGACATACATGTCACGGTGCTTTTGCATTTCGAAAGTTGGCAACCATTGTCTCACCCCGAATGTGGGCTGACGGGCACGATGGCTCGCAGTGGCTGGACCACGCCACCGGCTGCTCCCAGCGAGAACCGGCCCAGCGCCACCTCTAGACGGGCCACCAGTGCATCATAGCGCAGCACGCTCTGCACCTGCTCCGCTCCAATGTAAGTCGGCAGGTTTGCCATGCCGTCCTAGGGTTCAAACGCCACCGAGCGTGGAATGAGTTGTTCATACGTTCCCTTGCGTGCCACTGTGGCTACGAGATGCAAACCACAGACCACGGTAACTTCGCACTGCCCCGAATATGAATGGCGAGGCGGTGTTGGTGAGTGTACCTGCATTTCACCAATTCTCAGACAAAGAAACTGAATGGGAACATCACTTACATCGGCCATACGAAAGAACAAGGATGGAAATGCCTAATGCTTTGAGAGATGAGCTATGGCATCTCAAGAAGAGAAAATGCATTCAAAACTCACGACCCTTAAAGTCGCACATGGTCACGTATAGTGTGGGTAGGACCACCTCTTCCAAGAAATCTGGCCAAATACCCTCTAGAGGGCGTCTATTTTGCTCTCTCGAGTGGAGGCCCTTCTGCCAGCAGTGGTTTGAGTAAATTACTATTAGAACATTTTTTTGTACATTTTATATTTCCAGGTAAGTCCCACTGAGCTATGTAGCTCTTTTTCAGAAGCGACATTGCCACAAATGATAGCTCAACGAAGTGGCTTATTACGTGGAAATGTATAGCAGCCAAATCCAATAAAACCCATGTTTCTGAATGTGAAGGGAAATAGCAGAGGGCCCAGAGGAAAATCCACACGACCACGTGGAGAGAGACATGCAAACTCCAAATATACAGGCATCAGGGTCGAGATTGAACCCACGACCTCCTGTATACTCGGCGAGGTAGTTAACATATCGCCACCGCAGCACCCCATATAATTGCAGGGCTGCAACCTTTACCTTTTAACCTTTACATGACCAACAAAGATGTTCACAGTGATATTTACAGTTACAGTAACTCAACGTTAAAACAAATGTAACAACGGCTTCTACTAGTTTATCATGTGGTACGGTGCAAACCATGAGGCATGTCACAGATCACTGCCGAATACAACACACGTACCGTGGTGGAACAAGCGTATGCTGCGGAATGGCTTACAAATAAAATGCAAATGTAGCGCGTTCAATTTTTTTACACGCTTTTACGGACGAAGAAGTACTGTACATGATAATAAATCCAATTCTGCCAAAAAGCTAAGGACACATGAAGGTTTACTCACGGGGCTTGAGCAGTAAAGAGCAAGTTCACAGAATCAGCTTTCCTTGACAAGAATCACACTAACCAAAACAGCCTCTAACATACGCGGTGGACTTGCTAGTTTACATTACAAATATCTCAGTCTGCGTACAAGTACAGCACTCGAGCCACTGTGAATAAGTGTACAGTGCATCTGCATATATATAAAAGGCAAAGTTGTGAATGTGTCTGTTCTAAATGTTTAGCGTACTTCCCGACATGCAACAAACTTGAAATTTTCCATGTCGGTACTTTCCAGACTGTACACCATGCAAAAATTATAAAAATACACTTTAGGTTTTTTTTTAGGGAGGGGGAGCTCAATAATGCATATATTTTTTGCACGCCAAGTGAGCTGTGACGTCAAATCTGTCACGTGACCCTCGCACGTGGAAGCGTAACGCACTGTAGTGTAGAGGTAAGCGCGCCGCACTACGAGCCCGGCGACCACGAGTTCGATTCCCGCTCAGGGCCACCACCGGTGACGATTATTTGAACCGGTCCTGGGCCTCCCCTAGGTCTACTCAGCCTCAAACGACGAATTGCTGTGGTGTGTGAACATCGCCACTGGGGAGACAAAGGCGGCCGGGCGTGGTGAATCCAAGTCCCGGGCGAAGCCGGGTAGTACAGCTAGTTTATAATGAACGTTTGAGACGCTACTCTTGCACCAATGTGCACAGCGACCGAAGTCCCACGTCATGCTGTGTGGCCTGGCAATTCCATGACACGACATGCATGTGACCTGTCTAGTGGGGCAGACTGCACAACGCACCAGCCACACTGCAGGTTACAACACTTATCTTTAAGCTTCTTCCCTTGCACTGTTAAGACTTTTCCTGCCGTCCTCTCTTTCCCAAGCTCTTATGATAAAATATATCCAATTCAAGAAAGGTATTACACTTATCTATTATACATTCGATAGCGCCGCTAGTTGGGCATGTGCTCAACTGTGTATTTAGTTTTTGAATAACATATCTTACGTATGAATTGTTATTAAAATTAGCAGCACTAATGAGACATCTAATACATTTTAAAATAAGTATATAGCTATTCCACCTGGCGTGAGAGATTGCCCTTTAATCATATTACAGTACATAGGCGGTAGTGACCTATTCAAGTGTGACATTTAGAACATCTCATCTGCAAACTTATTTAGTTCTGGAGTACTGTATATGATTCTGTTTTCTATAGAGCTATGTATTCAGAAACTAAACTGCCTGAAGGTTTCTGTCAAATGCAATTAGTTTCATCACCTAAAATTACAATTTAGTTTAAACCCATTATTTATATCAAGGTTACGAATTCGGTAATATATTTATATCAACACATTCTGAGAATTAACGCATCGTCCAGTTTCATTATAGTATGCGAGAATCAATGCATTGTCTAGTTGCATTATAATATGCTAGAATCAATGCGTTGTCTAGTTTAATTACATTTTCTACGTATTATTACATAACTTCTTGAATGCATGAGAACAGGTTTTCCCCTTTTTTCTGGCAACAAAACAGGTGTTAAGATGTTCAAACACCAAACTGAAACCTTTTACAAGGAATTATGTCTGCATTAACCACAATACTTGTGGTCAGAATGCAAACAAAAAACATACTCTGATAATATATGCATTGTCCTTGAAACTGATTGGTCCACACCAGAGACAGCTTTCTTTTGAGCCTCGTCTCAAAACGGTGTTAGACCAGAGGACGCCAAAAAGACTTTCCACTTGGGTCAATGTGCATTCAAGAATGCATTCAAGAATGCACATTAACCCAAGTGGACATGCAATCAGTGTAGTATCGCAAGACCCAGAACAGCACAAACTGTGGGGAAGGCAGGGAGTGGGGTGAGTGGGGGTGGTGAATAAAAATGTAATCTGTAACGCGCACAATATTTCAACTCAGAGGCGCGGAGCCAAATACGAATAACATTGAGTCAATACGTCCATCAATAATATTGCCTTCAAAGGAAGCGAATGCACAGTAGAATAGTATAATACTGTAATATGCGATATTTTGGTTAAATGGTCCTTCATAGCACTGAGATTAAGAAGGGCTATTGGGCAAAAGGTAAATTATATTTTCCGTAGGACTGTCATGAAATAATGTGCCGAGACTACAGTGAGGGTGGGGAGGATAGGAATCCAAAACTCTCTGACAAGGTTAGAACGTCTTCACAGCCAAATTCACTGATGCCACAACATTTCGCTATCGCTTCATTCTGCTCGATCTCACAGATTCAGTCAGCATCCGACATTCAGTCTGATCTCAAGGTTGTATTACACTGCCTCCAGACAACCACAAGTGTCACGGATGTCTCTTTAACACTACCTTCTCATTCCTATCAAGCCATGTGTCTCGATATTGAGTTGTGGATCTTCATCAGTCTCTGTGAGAGTCATTGAGTGGTTATGCTCCGTCCTAATAAAGTATTAAAGCTTTCGTGATTGCATAAAATTACTCATTGGTTTTTTCGGTAAAGTCACATATGTAGAAATACAATAAAATTATATTATAACAAAAAACAATCACGACGTTTCGATCACAACGCAAGCGATCTTCATCAGGTGTCAAGAGCAAATCACGGAGGTAAATACAACAAAAAGATGAGAATTCAACAAACCTGAAAAAACATGTGAAGCACATCCAGTCAGGCCAACAACACAGACACTTCCTGGCGTACCACGAATTTCAGAAGAGTGTTAAATTTCGTGTTCAACCTTTGGATTGCACATACCAGCATAGATAGAATGAAAAATACGAGGTACACGGTCAGTAGAAATACATATACAAGTCCACCAAGAGGTAAGGAGGGAGGAAAGACGGACAGGGAGGTAGAGAGAGAGATAATGCCCTCTGGCAGCCTGGAGTGTTACTCGTCCATCCAGCATGCGAGATCCACCCGTCTTGCTTGACCATACTTCTCCATGCAGGCCAAAGTGAGTTGAAGGGGGAGCTCGATGACCGGTGCAGACGCTAATTGCCACTTGTTATAGATGTAGCCGGAAAATCCAATTTAGGTTGCCAGGTTCACAGTTTGGTGCGCTAACCACTGCGCCACCCGCTGCACCCAAATATGCAATCATAACGTTACACTGGCCACGTTAGAGCGTGGCATCAATCTGTAAGATTGATGCCACGGTTTACAATCATAAAACAGTACGGGTACAGTCCCCGGTTCGCACACGTACATCGCCAAACATATGGAAAAATTCGTTCACCCCACATTGGCCAGAAACTCAATACAGTTGTAAGCATTGCGTGGTATGTAGATTCAAAACCGAAAGGCCAGTGGAAAACGAAGGCTTTTTGAAAACTCACTTGTCCATGTTAAGTAACTGCATATAACGTGCCAGACACAATAACCTTGGGCCCTTTCCACAGGCTTCTCCTCTCTGCCTGCAAACAAACAACAAAAAAAACAACACACTCGCGCATAAACGCTTACACGCGGAGATTTTAAAGCGTTTCGTTAAAAGCCCCCCCCCCCCAAAAAAAAATTACACGACCTTTGCTCTCGCCCAGAGGAGCACTCAAAGCCAACCGGGGCTGTGAGGTTTTTCGAAGTTATTTGCCTTTTTTTTGCTTCTGCAACTCGCTCAGTCGCGGCGTAAACTTTTAGCACAAGGCAGAGAGAGGAGAGAGAGAGTGATAGAGCTGAGTGGAATGCAATGAGTGGATTGTACCAACGTCCTGCTTTGCCTCTCGTGGGGTTGGCTGGGCACCGTCACGAAATGTTTGGCTCACGCTGTGGTAAAACATTGGGGCCGTCCATAAATGAAGTCACGCGATTTCGGACGATTTTTGACCCCCCCCCCCCCCCGTTCGTCACACGGCGTCACAAAAAGTCAGACCCCCCACCTTTAAATATGACGTCACAAAGCTCTGCCACCTCCCCCCCACCCAAAAAAATACAAAACATGCTTCAAATCGCTTTAAACTATTGTCATTGTAGTGCGTATTTAATGTGGCGCTGCACTCTGATGTTGTAGGAGAAAACATTTATTAAGAAGTCTATTTAATTAAGTAGAACGTGTTGTATATATTTATTTAAAGTTGCGCATTTTGATGTGACGTCACTTTTCTCAACCTCCCCTCCCCCCACCTCGTCACATATCGTCACAAACGTCTGACACCCCCCCCCCCCCTAGGTGCGTGACGTCATTTATGTACGGCCCCATTGTCCAACGTCGCAATCGCAGCGTTGTTAATTGTGCATCTATTCTGCGAATGGGCATATTTCGAAACCGAGTGCTATATATTGTTTTTTTTTTTACGGGACACAGTCGCTGTGCAAAGGGTGAAGAAGAAGAAGAGCCGTCATTATTATTACATCAAGGGCACAATGAAAGGTGCTCATTGAAAAAAGCACGCGTTGCACGGAGACTGGCACTTGTGATTTCATCGTCACCCGTATCGTTGGATCATCTCGCAGCTCCCACGACCGCTCTCTCCGCAGCACCGAGGGCTCTCTCGCACAGCGACTATTGCAGTGCGTGGACGTTGTGGTATTTAAAACGAGGGGGGTGGGTGAGAGCACCACGCCCGGCCGCCTTTTGTCTCCCCAGTGGCGATGTTCACACACGCAACACCGGTTACTAGTTTGAGGCTGAGTCGACCTAGTGGAGGCCCAGAAGCGGTTGAAATAATCGTCACCGGTGGTGGCCGTGAGCGGGAATCGAACTCGGGTCGCCGGGTTCGTAGCGCAGCGTAGCGAATAACCGCTACACTGCAATGCGTTACGCTTCCACGTGCGCGGGTCACGTGACGGATTTGACGTCACAGCTCACTTGCCGTGCAAAAACTATATGCATTATTAAGCTCCCCCCCCCAAAAAAAAAAATGCGTGTATTTTTATAATGTTGGCATGGTGTACAGTCTGGAAAGTACCCACATGGAAAATTTCAAGTTTGTTGCATGCCGGGAAATACGCTAAATATTTTGAACAGACGCACATATTCACAACTTTGCCTTTTATATATATGGAGATATAGAGATGTCAAAGTTATCCTGAAAATAGCTTAAAAGAGCCAGTCGCGCCCAAGGCACCAGCTCACCCAGTCCACCCAAAAGCTTTTCCGATCTCCGGCTCAGCCCTCCTTTAAATAGGCGCAGAGCTGCCCCTTAATTAATTATTCCATCATTAAATTCATCTGTTCCCCAATCACCTCACTGCCTGGGGGAAGGGGGGGGTTGAGAAATGTGACGTCACATCAAAATGCGCAACTTTAAATAAATATAAACAACACGTTTTACTTTATTAAATAGACTTTTTAAATAAAGGTTTTCTCCTACAACATCAGAGAGTGCAGCGGCACATTAAATACTCACTAGAATAAGAATAGTTAAAAACGATTTGAAGCATGTTTTATTTTTTTTGGGGTGGGGGGGGGGCAGATATTTGTGACGTCATATTTGAAGGGGGGGGATCTGACTTTTTGTGACGCCGTGTGACGAGGGGGGGGGGGGGTCAAAAAGCGTCAAAAGTCGCGTGACGTAATTTATGGACGGCCCCAAAAGGCAAACAACATTGTTTTTATTATTGTCATTTGAACGGTTTTTTATTGTTGTGTATTGCATTTGTGTTGAGTGAAAGAACAGGCAACCTTGCAAAACAGACAATGCAGGTTTAACAGCAATAATAAAAAAACTCGGGTTGATATCTCAATGGGTTTATTTAAAAATTCCGATATAATAAATTAAACAATAATTGAGATAAATCCTTCAACCTGAACACCTCTGGCATCGAGATAAATTTGGAGGGAAATCCTCTAGCATGAACACCTCCCCTGACACTGACAGGAATCTGGAGGGAAATCCTCTAGCATGAACACTTCGTATGATTTGAGTGGAATTTGGAGGGAAATCCGCTAGCATGAACACCTCCTCTGACACTGACAGGAATCTGGAGGGAAATCCTCTAGCCTGAACACCTCCTTTGACACTGAGAAGAATCTGGAGGGAAATCCTCTAGCTTGAACACCTCCTTTGACACTGACAGGAATCTGGAGGGAAATCATCTGATACTCAGAGGAATCTGGAGGGAAATCCTCTAGCATGAACACCTCCTTTGACACTGACAGGAAACTGGAGGGAAATCCTCTAGCATGAACACCTCCTCTGATACTGACAGGAATCTGGAGGGAAATCCTCTGACACTGACAGGAATCTGGAGGGAAATCCTCTAGCTTGAACACCTCCTCTGATACTGACAGGAATCTGGAGGGAAATCCTTTGACACTGACAGGAATCTGGAGGGAAATCCTCGAGCCTGAACGCCTCCTCTGACACTGACAGGAATCTGGAGGGAAATCCTCTGACACTGAGAGGAATATGGAGGGAAATCCTCTAGCTTGAACAACTCCTCTGACACTGAGAGGAATCTGGAGGGAAATCCTCTGACACTGAGAGGAATCTGGAGGGAAATCCTCTAGCCTGAACACCTCCTTTGACACTGAGAAGAATGTGGAGGGAAATCCTCTAGCATGAACACCTCCTCTGACACTGACAGGAATCTGGAGGGAAATCCTCTGACACTGAGAGGAATCTGGAGGGAAATCCTCTAGCCTGAACACCTCCTTGACACTGAGAAGAATGTGGAGGGAAATCCTCTAGCCTGGACGTGCCAGTGCCCAGGGCCTGTGTTTACTCGCCCTGGTCTCTCGCCGGGCTAGGATTTCCTTAGCCGTGTCAGTGTGTGTGTGTCTTTTTTTTTAAAACAAATATACATCGCTTTAAACAACAAAACTAAACTATGCACCGTAGCACACTTTTGTCCATCACTTAGCGACCGAAATTTTGTGCGCGAGTCCGTGGTTTTATGTCGCTCGAAGTCGTCTCTTTGTCACGATCCGTTATGCGAGTGGCGGCGGCGTCGTCTGCTGCTGTGCTCGGGAGATAAACTAGGCCTGGGATGCCCAGCGTTAGGCCGAGTGAGTACCCCACGAATATCGCTTCGATCTCGCACTCACAACTTGCAGAGTCGATGGGCTGGTGGGTCATTACGATACTCAACGGGTCGGGCGAGTCCCTGACGTCCCCCCCCCCCCCAACTGCTACTGCTGCTGCTGCTACTCACTACTACATGCGAACATTCACAAATGTTGCCGAGGATGTGTGTGTTTGTGTGTGTGTTTTTTATAAAATGTACTGTAATACAGTCACTGCGGTGACGTAATGCGCATTACTGCCGTGCAAGCTCCACGGCGTAAACGATTAAACGGTGATAGGTGTTAGGCTTTATTTTGTTGGTGTTGCTGTTCTGATGGGCATTCGGTTTATTATACCTTTTAAATCTGTGGAATGTTTTAATTTCAATGTCTCCCCCCCCTCCCCCTCTCATCTCTCAAGTGTGTTGTCAGGACCGCCATGCTGGTGGTCATGTAGGAAACACGCGTTTACATTACTATTTAGATTATTTGGCTGCAATAAATTGTTCACGTGATAAGCCACTTCGTTGAGCTATAATTTATGGCCAGGTTGCTTCTAAAAAAATTAGCTCGGTTGGCTTTACCCTGTAAAATAAAACATGTTTTGTGTGATTTGCTTACCATTCCTATACTTTGCACATCTATCGTATTTTTTTTATTTTGCTTGTAACTTTCTGACCCGCCTCTTCTGTACGTACGTGAAAGAGCTTTACAGCTCATCGGATTCCTCCACTATAAACAATGACTGATTCAATGTATCACCAAGATGGCCGCGTGTATAACACTGGCGCGAAAGGGTCGTTGCTCGGAACGTTGTCTTATATAGAATTATTAACCTATTAGGGAAGTGTTATTGACATTTCCCTAATAGGTGTTGGTTGTACCTGTGCACCATTGCCAACGTAGTATTACAAATGTGTTTTTTTGTTGTGGTTCTGAAATTGTGTTCATCTGCGTTATGCGGTTTAAAAACGCTGCAACAAACCAGCGAGGTGGCGTTGTGGCACAGCAGTCACCTGAGCCCATCATCCACTCGGGGAGTCGATAAAATGAGTGCCGCTTTGTGGGAAGCACTAGACATACTGGGAGGCATGGAGATGCTGGCCCACGCCTTAAGCACGTGGAATATTCACCGCTGCAATGGTGTGGTCATTATGGCCATGTTGGAACCTCGAACCAGCACTGCTGAGATACAGGGCATTGAATCTGAGTTCCAGCCGACTCTTGGCAATGTCATCGGTAGTCAGTGGTGACCATCTTCGTCGTCTTGCTTATTGTTAAGATGAGTCAGTACAGTACTCTGCACATGGCTTCAGTTGAAGTTGTCACCATTGTACAAACTGAAATGACGTTAATTTATATTTTCATTTTATTTAATGCAGCACAGCTCAAAGGGCTAAAATATGTAAGCACAGTAAATCCGATTACTGAAGTGACACCAGCTATAATTTAGTTGTGGCACATCTTGGAGTCATGTTCCCCTGACAGGATATGAAGCTCTGCTCACAGGGATTTCAGGAGAAACATATTTGTCTTGACAGGTCTCCGATAATGCACTATGTTTTCATAATTTAGCACACCGCTGCTGAAACTACTTTTGACTTGCATTGCAGGTGCCTGCGGCTACTCAGTGTCAGGGCACACAGTGCCATTGTTTGGATAGGGCCCTACCTTGCTGAATGGACTCTGAAATCATACTGATACAAGCCTCAAATTGGTTACATCAGAGTGACTAGTGACATTTATTAACCAGACCCACCTTTCTGATGATACCCATTAAAGCTTAATAATGGCTAAGGTTGGCTTTTTAAACAAATGCGAATAACCAAACATATGTAAAGGCTTTGGGCTGATGGATAAAATGTTATCTACAGTATTTATTTTAGTGATTAAACCTGCATGCCTAATGTTTTACACATTCCAACTGCCATTCGCAAGTGATAACATTATTCTTAACAAGTCCACTTAAACTAATGTCCAGTAATGGGCGCAAACAAGAAGGGAGGTTTTGCTTCATGCTAATACATTATCATACAATATTGAAAACTTGCTGATTAAACCTTACCCAATGGAGAATATTTCATCTACCAATAACCGTTTTCTGTTTAAGACTAGCATTGCATACAGTGAGGGAAAAAAGTATTTGATCCACTGCTGATTTTGTACGTTTGCCCACTGACAAAGAAATGATCAATCTATAATTTTAATGGCAGTTTTATTTGAACAGTGAGAGACAATAACAACAACAAAATCTAGAAAAACGCATGTCAAAAATGTTATAAATTGATTTGCATTTTAATGAGGGAAATAAGTATTTGACCCCCTCTCAATCAGAAAGATTTCTGGCACCCAGGTGTCTTTTATACAAGTAACGAGCTGAGATTAGGAGCACACTCTTAAAGGGAGTGCTCCTAATCTCAGCTTGTTACCTGTATAAAAGACACCCGTACACAGAAGCAATCAGTCACATTCCAAACTCTCCACCATGGCCAAGACCAAATAACTCTCCAAGGATGTCAGGGGCAAGATTGTAGACCTACACTAGGCTGGAATGGGCTACAAGACAATTGCCAAGCAGCTTCGTGAGAAGGTGACAACAGTTGGTGCGATTATTCGCAAATGGAAGAAACACAAAAGAACTCGCTCGGCCTGGGGCTCCATGCAAGATCACACCTCGTGGCGTTGCAATGATCATGAGAACGGTGAGGAATCAGCCCAGAACTACACGGGAGGATCTTGTCAATGATCTCAAGGCAGCTGGGACCATAGTCACCAAGAAAACAATTGGTAACACGCTACGCTGTGAAGGACTGAAATCCTGCAGCGCCCGCAAGGTCCCCCTGCTCAAGAAAGCACATATACATGCCCGTCTGAAGTTTGCCAATGAACATCTGATTCATAGGAAAACTGAGTGAAAGTGTTGTGGTCAGATGAGACCAAAATGGAGCTCTTTGGCATCAACTCAACTCGCCGTGTTTGGAGGAGGAGGAATCCTGCCTATGACCCCAAGAACACCATCCCCACCGTCAAACATGGAGGTGGAAACATTATGCTTTGGGGGTGTTTTTCTGCTAAGGGGACAGGACAACTTCACCGCATCAAAGGGACGATGGACGGGGCCATGTACCGTCAAATCTTGGGTGAGAACCTCCTTCCCTCAGCCAGGCCATTGAAAATGGGTCGTGGATGGGTATTACAGCATGACAATGACTCAAAACACACGGCCAAGGCAACAAAGGAGTGGCTCAAGAAGAAGCACATTAAGGTCCTAGAGTGGCCTAGCCAGTCTCCAGACCTTAATCCCATAGAAAATCTTTGGAGGAAGCTGAAGGTTCGAGTTGCCAAACGTCAGCCTCGAAACCTTAATGACTTGGAGAATATCTGCAAAGAGGAGTGGGACAAAATCCCTCCTGAGATGTGTGCAACCTGGTGGCCAACTACAAGAAACGCCTGACCTCTGTGATTGCCAACAAGGGTTTTGCCACCAAGTACTAAGTCATGTTTTGCAGAGGGGTCAAATATTTATTTCCCTTATTAAAATGCAAATCAATTTATAACATTTTTGACATGCGTTTTTTCTGGATTTTGTTGTTGTTCTGTCTCTCACTGTTCAAATAAACCTACCATGAAAATTATAGACTGATGATTTCTTTGTCAGTGGGTAAACCATCTCAAAATTTGGATAAGAGGCTTGACTTGTATTTGGGTAAGAGGCCAAACGGACAGTCCAGTCAGACTCTCATACTCAGTTCAAATACTCAGTCTATGGACAACCTTGTTTGGTGTCCATAATTAAGACTGTGGGGATTAAGATACAAACTTTTGTGTCATTATTGGCAGATTTGGAGCGGACTGAAGAGCCCGCCTGCCTCTCCCTGACGCATCCCACCTGGCTGCAAGTGTGAAATTCCTAATCAGAGAAATCCAAGGTAAAGTGGCGGTCTGGCTATTCATGTGAGGTAGAATTATTTCAGAGAAAGGTGGTTCTCAAAACTAGCTTGTCAGGGGAATATTTGACCTTTGTTGTACCAATAACACTGTATACTGAAGATCAATATTTTAACAACATAAGTTACATTTTGTTTTAAGTCAATGTAAATAATACATACTGAAGATCAATATTTTAACAACATAGGTTGCATTTTTGTTTTAAGTCAATGTAAATAATACATTAAAGCTCTTTGTCAATACACTACTGGATGAAGGCTGCCCAGTGCGAAATTGGGCATGGTTCATTTTTACACGCTTTTAACTTGCTCTGTCTGTTGTTGTCGTTGTATCCTCAAATCTTGTAACTACATTTTAACCCACTTCACAATGTAGTATCGACTGCAAACTTGTTATTCTTATGTCATACTGATGACAGATTAGATATGCAAATATAATTACATTAAAAACATGTTAATTGGTTATCTGCTTAAGATCACTCAAGTCAGAGTTAACGCATGCATTACAGAGTGATTCTTATACGAAGTTTAAGAGTAAAAGTAGTAAAAAGCAGTGTATTAAAATACACATTGTGCTCAGTGCATATAACCATGTTATGGAATAATTTTAATAATTCATATTTTTTAGTTACAGTACTGCATTGTTTAAAACAAATATTTAGCCCATTTGGTCATTCCATGTCAGATATGGGGGTTTGTTTGGCCATACTTCATCATGAGAATAGGTTTTCCCCTTTTTTTTCTGGTAACAAAACAGATGTTAAGATGTTAAAACACCAAACTGAAACCTTTTTACAATGAATCATGTCTGCATTAACCACAATGCTTGTGGTCAGAATGCAAACAAAAAAACATACTATGATAATATATGCATTGTCTTTGAAACTGATTGGTCCACACCAGAGACAGCTTTCTTTGGAACCTAGTCTCAAATGGTGTTAGACTAGATGCCTTTTGGCTCCAAAAAAAGCGGTCTCTGATGTGGACCAATCAGTTTCAAAGACAATGCATATATTATCAGAGTATGTTTTTGTTTGCATTCTGACCACAAGCATTGTGGTTAATGCAGACATGATTCCTTGTAAAAAGGTTTCAGTTTGGTGTTTTCACATCTTAACCCCTGTTTTGTTGTCAGAAAAAAAGGAGAAAACGTATTCTCATATTTTGGTACTGGCAAAGGAGGTCCCATGATGTAGCATAACTTCATCATGTTGGTCATTGTGGGTTGATGGAGTGGGAAGATATCAATTTCCACTTCTGTTTGCTGTGATCGGGTATAATACTGAAGTCAGGTTCATAGCACAGTGTGGGATGGTGTGGGGATGTCTTCATTCATCAATGGATAGGCAAAGGGCTGTACATTTATATGTTATTGTTATCATTAATTTACAAAACTATATTAAAGTACTGGCACATTGGTCAACAGTGGCATATGTCCAGGCACTGAGCTTACATTTTCATTAACTTGATAATGGCATTAAGTAAGTATTGATGTGTTTTACTCACTGTTCACACAAGTATTTATTACAGTAAATGTGTACTTTAAGACTGTATATGATTTATTAAGACAAGAGATGTATGTAAAATGCTGAAAGGCACATTTGCTGTACATGTATTTGTGGACCAAATACCATGGCAATATTTTTCAATGCAATCACTTTCATGTATATAGTTGGCTCATTATGAACACGGAGTTGCAGAAAGTAAGAAAATGGATAGAAATTAAGGCACTATATTATCCCGCACTGCACTAGCATGGCAGTCAATGAACAACGAAAGACCGGGTTATAAATTTACAGCACTAGTGAGTGATTGGTATCCAAATGAGTAATCCCTTATGTCAATGGTTTTACCTATTTACTTAAACAAGTAATTATTACCGCCTCGATTGTTACGTAGAATATACAAGTATAACTTCGCCATACAGTGTCTGTCACTATAACCCCGGGCATTTAAGTATTTGATCATAAAATGTTCAAATATAATATCTTGTTATAGGTACTCAAAAGATAAACTAGTGGATCTTTGAAGTATTTAGTTAGTATAGTGGTTTTCCATTGTACAGCACAATTCCTTGATTGCATGTGCTTCTACTCCGACAAGACAGCTGCTTGCTACTAGCTACCCGTAATTTTGGCAGAAAATTGTGAAATAATTGCATTTATTTAAATAGCCTGCCACCGACTTCTGTAATATGTATTGCTCTTAGCAGATTTCATCTGAACTCTATATACACTGCGAATTACTTTCTACAATATAAGTTAGTTTTTAACTCCAATCATCCTGAACTACCAGAGTAGGCCTTTTAATGTTTAGCCAACATGCTGTGTTTGCTTGATTTGAGTGCTGATTCGAATAAAATAATGATATTGTGGGTGTATGACTATGAGAGCACTCCTACATTTAATCAACGCCTTGTCGCATAGGTCGTATTTACCAATCAGCAGTGTATAACCACGGAAATGCAGATTATGGTGGTTTGTAAGAATTGTAATTTGGAAAACGCCGACTTCTTTATAACCATACTAGCTGTACTACCCGGCTTTGCCCGGGACTTGGATCCACCACGCCCGGCCGCCTTTGTCTCCCCAGTGGCGATGTTCACACACCACAGCAGTTAGTCGTTTGAGGCTGAGTCGACCTAGGGGAGGCCCAGAAGCGGTTGAAATAATCGTCACCGGTGGTGGCCGTGAGCGGGAATCGAACTCGGGACGCCGGGTTCGTAGCGCGGCGTAGCGCTAACCACTACACTGCGATGCGTTACGCTTCCACGTGCGCGGGTCACGTGACGGATTTGATGTCACAGCTCACTTGCCGTGCAAAAACTATATGCATTATTGAGCTCCCCCCCCCCCCCCAAGTGTATTTTTTTAATGTTTGCATGGTGTACAGTCTAGAAAGTACCCACATGGCAAATTTCCTGTTTGTTGCATGTCGGGAAGTACGATAAACATTTTGAACAGACACACATATTCACAACTTTGCCTTATATGTATGGAGATTATATATATGGAGATATAAGCAGAACTCCATTTTGTTTCTTAATACATTAATATAAACGTTGGAATCCATCACCTTAATTGCTTTCCAAACCGATATTATCAAGCTGCATATGTTTGAGCAATCAAGCATAGACTTTCATGCTTTGGGCAGGTATTTGCCTGACCTCTTCATCGACCCGGCTGCAGCGACAATGCTAACCACCGTGTGTATGCATGTACGTTGAGCCGTGCTAATCGCAGGTGTGTGATGGCTGTGCAGGGCTGTGCTGCCGCACGGTGGCCGACCCAGCCCTCGCAGTGCCCCACGCCTGCCTCGCTGGCAGCATGTCCGGAGGGAACGGGGCAGCACTCGATCCCGCCAACGCCCCTTCCCGAGGTGAAAGACGTGTTCTGCGATTACATCGCCATATGCCGACAGGTCAGGAAGCAGTTAATAGGGGTTTCTGGTTTCTGTGGTTCATTCGTATTTCATTGTAATGTGATTTAATTGCGTATCTTTCTCGTCTGTGTGCTTTTGTTGTTTATGCATTTGCTTGTTTCCTTGTTGATGTACTATTTAAGTTTTTAAACATTTGCTGAAATAACAATGCATACATTCGTTTTTCTACCACTGTACTCTCAGCACCAGTTAAAGAGTGAAGCCACCTCTGCATTATTTAGCTGATCTTAATTCGAACATATGATTCCTTCTTTCTGTCATTTAATCGCATGCTTTATTGCGGGACTAAAATGCACATTTCCACTCTTCAGCTGCTGTGAAATTTATATGTGTATCAAGGTGTTGCTGTTTTTTATGTTAACAGTACTAAACAACAAATAATGATTTAAACTAGTTGCACTTTTGATGGTTTATAAAAAAAAAAGACTGAACAATGTGCCCTGACTAAAGGTATATCAAAATTGTGATTTCAGTGGCTTAGTTTGTACACGTTTAATGTTTTCAGGGTCTTGCCAGTAAATCAGAAATGCATTCACAGAAGGAATGAGCTATACAGTAATAGTCAATATTCTACAAATGTTATATGACTTTGGCCTCTGGATTCACTTTAAATAACCGCACCACTTACAATAAATGTCCCATTATGCTATCTTGTAACAGCGCTGGGACTACAAGAGCTGAAACAAAAGCTTTTATGATTGGCGAGGGAATAAGAGTGCTAAGCGGTTGCAAAATGTACCCTGTTGAATATACCTTCATATCTAGTTTTGCTGTATCTCAGCATTTAATATATTGAGTGCATGCCAGCAGAACCCACTGTAACAGCAATATTGATATATAATATTTCTGAAGACATCAATTGTGCCTCACTTTAGTTATTGGTTATATTCTGTGCACAGCATTATTTTGTGAAAACTAAATTACAGTTTTTGAGAAGTGGCATTTAGTGCTCTCTAGTTATCACTGTGACTTTCAGCGTGAATACTATGAGGCACAGGGATTTCACCGTGTGTGCATATACAAGTAGAAAAGCATTTTGAAAAACTTTTAAAAGGATGAAGATGTCACGTTTTAATATGATTATGTTATTTTTAGGCTAGTAATTAGATCCCTTGCCAGTGAGGCATTTTGTACAGAGCACAAAATAATTTTTCTGAGCAATCTTCAGGTTTACAAAATACAGCATTATATTAACATTAAACGGAGGTATTTGGATATGTTAATGTGAGTCAGTGGGGTTAATAACAGTCAAAGGACACTGCTTAGATACCAGCTTTTAACCCAAATTCCCATCATTACACATTAAACACATTGTCTAATGTGGTTTGATGGTCTAAACATGTTCCCCAATCATTTAAAAATCATATAAATTGACTACATTGCTTGATGATACTGCATTGGCAGTGGTGAACAAACATAAATAACAATAACTCAACACATTCCTCAATAACACTGCCATAAACTTTGCGTATTACATATTTTTTCTTTTAAGGCAGTGTTATTGAAAAAATTAAAGTTTTTCCTTGATTACTAGAACATAGATTTTTCATGCAACAAACACTGCAGGAAATATAAGGATGGGCCAATGTAAGTTAATCCAGAATAATCCTTGTAACCTGATGTTAGCTTGCCGTGAGTGTCTCCTCAGGACATGCCACTGATAGGACTATAGCTTTTTATTATTATTAATAAAAAAAAAGAAGGGCAACAACAAAGGGAATGTTTTTTTTAAGACAAACCGTATCGCCGGTATCAAGCAAGGCACTTTACCGCGAGCTGCGTTGCAGTGGGCCTGGCATCGGGGGCGGTGGACCCGGGCTCGGGCGACCCGGTCAGAGCCAACGACGGCGCTGCCGCCGCCGCCGCTGCCGCTGCCTCCGTGACGGCGGCGGCAGCGGCGGCGGTGTCGGTGGCAGCCGACGAGGAGGACGACGACCCCGGCGTGGTGTTCTCGGAGCCGTCGCATCCGAGCGCTGTCCTGCTGGGCGTGCGCGCACTGCGCGAGGCGGGCGCCCTCTGCGACGTGACGCTGTGCTGCGGCGCGTCCGAGTTCCCGTGCCACCGGCTGCTGCTGGCCGCGTGCAGCCCCTACTTCCGCGCCATGTTCTCGGCAGGCCTGGCCGAGAGCCGGCAGGAGCGCGTGACGCTCGCCGGCGTCGATGCCTCCTCGCTCGGCCTGCTGCTGTCGTACGCCTACACCGGGGAGGTGCGCATCTGCCGCGCCAACGTTCAGGCGCTGCTGGCGGCCGCTGACCTGCTGGACGTGCCGCCCGTGCGCCAGGCCTGTGCCCGCTTCTTGCAGGTTAGGATGAGCGGCTCGGCTAAGCACCGGGGTTTTTTTTTTTTAATGTTGTACATTAATGCATTCCTGCTGACGTTTGATTTAGCTCGAATTCGTCTTGAGTTGTTTTTTTGGAACTCCATTCCCCTCGCCATCCGTGCAGTTGCGTCCTTGCCCATGTTCAACTTGCCTCAATGCCTTTTTTTCCCCGTGCCTATGAAATCAATATGCACACCGTCTGTACATTGTTTAGATTCCCTTTAAGTGAAATAAACAGTATTACATTATGCCTGTTTCATGGTAACTTTATAAGAATATCATATATACATGCATGATGTGTAGGGAACTACACATTTGTTTAATCATTGTATAAATCACTTCCTGTAGCACTTTAGGCCGCCAGTAATGCCCAGTCCTCAGGATGAAGGATTCTTAATCATGAAAACCAAGCAAAGGTGTCAGTTTTTTTTGTAAAGCCTTGTGGAGTAACTTTCTAATTTCAGATTTTTGGTCATGATATTCATGACAGTCATGCTAGAGAGAATCGGAAATATTGTACAGTTATTGATAATTCTACCTTCAGTGCCAATAGTACTTGAGCAGCATTAAAGTATAGCCTTATGTTAAAGTTCTCTTATCTGGTTAATAGTCATGCCTTGAAATGGTAAGATAATTGTATCTCTATTTTAAGTGTGCAGTTGCCATAATTTCTCCCATATGGTATATCTGCCAGCGCTCACAAAATTCAATGCAGCCATCCATCTGCATAGGGTACAACAACTTCCGCTGGCTTACACCAATACAAGAAGGAGTTGGCAATTCTTTATATTGGAGGGAGAAAATTAACTGCTCCATTCAGTTCCTGAAGAAACTCCCAGCACGTGGAGAAAAATGTCAGACATCACACCAAATAATCATGAGCTATACAGCACAACTTCTAAAACCTACGTAGCAACACTATTCATAACCAGTTGGTTGAATGTGATTGTGTAATAAAAAAAATTACAGCGCGGGTTTACTTTTGACATGCTTTTGTGCTGTCTGTGCTTTGTGTGTGTTCGTGTCTGCTTGCGTCTTTGACCGTTTGGCCGCAGTCACAGCTGGACGTGTCCAACTGCCTGGGCATGCACTGCTTCGCGGAGGCGCACGCCTGCCCGGAGCTGCAGAGGGCGAGCCTGGACTTTGCTCTGCAGCACTTTGCGTCCGTGTGGCAGCAGGAGGAGTTCGGCGCGCTCACCTCCGACAAGCTACTCGAGCTGTTGGCCAGTGACCGGCTCAACGCGCCTCGCGAGGAGACCGTCTTCCAGGCATCACTCGCCTGGCTCAATCGCACCGCTGACCGCCGGCAGTACGCCGACAAGGTGCTTTGTTGCAATGCAATTATAAAGGGTCCCATGGTGTATAAATACAGCCGGCCAGGTGGCTCAGCGGTAGAGCGAGTGGCTCACCATTGGAAGGTCATGAGTTAATTTAATATTCTATAGATAGACTCGCCCCCGTCATAGGAAGGTGTGATTTCCACCAATGGCTAATGGATGTTAACAGGAGATGAACACTGCCTTAATGCTTGTTTGAGCAGGAAACACTGGTCTACAGCCAAAATGCTTCCAAAATAAATGTAGTCCAACTTTACTAATTCTGGGTCACTGAGAATGAAAATGACACTTAAAATTGTTTATTGGCTCTAGTTTCCAAGATATGCTACTGGGTCAGTATATACGACCCTTGACTTGGTATAGGCGGAGGATAAGTGAGTTATAAAGGGAAGGGATCTCAATTAGAAATGACTAAAATACATCTTTGACTGGATCAATGAATAAATCTATGACTGGGTTTGGACAGGACTTGCTATTTGAGCAAAATAATGAATGATGCAATCTGAACCTGGTATTGTGTCATAGATTATATGAATTGTATCATGTTATTCCTAGAAGTCATCGATGATACAATCATAAAGAGGCTTACATCCCTCTGCTGAACAAATTGCCCTATATCAGCTCAAGAAATCATAGTGTCGTGCTCTCTTATTTGTTAGTGTTTGATTTTGCAAAGGGACACATTTCTGTTTAGCCAAAGTGTGTAGAGATGCCTCGTACTTGTGTGAACAAAGCAGATAACTTCTGCTATGTTTGTGGTGAAGTGACTTTTGCATCACAAGCGCAGTATAACCACTGTGGTTAAGAAAGCCTATCACCTTTATTATGGCTGCAAAATTGGAGATCAGGACAAGATGTGGGCCCCACACATATGCTGCAACACTTGTGCAACAAATCTTGGCCAGTGGTTGAACAGGAAAAGGAAATATATGCCTTTTGCAGTACCAATGATTTGGAGAAAGCCAACGGATCATATCAGCAATTGTTACTTCTGCATGGTGCCTCCAGTTGGGAAAGGTGTGTCAAAGAAGAAAAAGTGGACTGTGCATTATCCAAACATTCCATCAGTTATACGCCCAGTACCCCACAAAAGGACTGCCAGTTCCTGATGCACCAGAATCATTCTCACTTGAGTCAGACGAGGAAGAGGATTTTCATTGTCATATTGGAATTCAGCACATCAAAATCCATAATAAACAGCACATTTCATCTCTGAAGCAGACGACGTCTAAAAAATTGTAGACCAATGAAATCACTTTGACAAATATTATTCACTCAATCTCTCAGGCCTCTGTCTGCTATGAAGAAAGGCCATTGCCCTAAACGTCACTTTAATAATTGTTTTCCTTTTTGAAGAGTGTAAGTTTGTTTTGTGTACCACTGGCAATGCAGTGTCACCAATACATATTGGTTTATTCATGGTTGGCTTGCTGGTTTTGAACCCAGTCTAGCAGTAGCGATGACTCGCTGCGAATACAGGCATTAGGCTCTTGGGGCCCGACTAAAGAACGACTTATGCAAATATATAAATGGTGGAAGTCTGGTTAGAGATAAGAATTGCAATTCTATAAGGGAGTTAAGACAATTAAGTGGGGTATAATAGTAGAGAACTTAGGGGTTGTCTGGACCACTTTCAAGTTAATTGCCAAAGTCCAAATGTAAGAGAGATTCCACCCTTATTAATAAGTTACATAATAACAAAATTAATAATAACGTGAATAACAAATATAGCTGCAACCGGCTGAAGCACACAGAGTGATGACATCATGTTGCACGGGAGACCTCTGCTTGTAATGTTTCATGGAGTTGTCTTTCTGGAAGATGTTTGGCAGGTGCAATGGGAGTGATACTATCTCTAGAAACTGCTATCACGCCCACAATGTTACAATCTTACGAGGACACCTCTATATCCCATGAATTTTGTTATATTTTGGATATTACTATAATCGCCGCCTACCAGACTTGTGACAAATTTTACGAGTATTTTATGTACTCAAGCCCCTGACCAACTTAGTAACCTCACCATGTGGCTTATTTGAATCTGCAATCTTTGTGCCTTAATAATGTAATGAAATAGATTAAGCTTAATTGACTTAATTTGATCAAAGAAATGTGTACATCAGCTTCCTGTTATATGCTGAATCTGTGTCCATCCACATGTACGTTATGTGCTGCATTAAAAAAGTGACATTGGTAACTTGCACATTTAAGTCTCTGCTTAGCTTTTAAATTGCTAACGGATTTTCACATTGACCTGGTGTTTCCCCAGAGAACATAATATGGAGAGTTTGTCAATACATAGTTTAAAGCCCACATCATCAAAGGCACCAGGACATTCAAATCTGGAGACATCAAGGGCAAAAAATGTTATACTCGAAACCCTAACATTCTTTGTAAATCCTTAGCTGTACAGTATATCTTTGAGCTGTCCTTTGTTTATTTTAAATCACATTTTTATGTTATATTTCAGTGGCTGTTATTTTGAGACTTTTATTTTATGATGGAAAGGTCTACCTGCCTATGAATATTTAAAAATCGAAATGATCAGCATGCCAGCCTCTGTATTGAATGCAACAACATCTGCAGCAATTATAAAACCGGCTTTGTGAGAACAGAGCCAGAGTATTGCACTACTTTTCTCAATCTTGGAGATGGAACTGCGGTTGACCTTGTACAATCGTGACTGAAATATATCAATTGGCTGAAAGTTTATTTTTCACAATAGGTACATACTTAAGGTTATGCTACTTATCTGCCTTGCATGAGATCATCAAGGGATAAAATATGCATGCCATTTTTGGAAGAGTAAGTTACTGATAGGTTGCACTGCAAGTAAGTGTGAAAACTGACCTCTTTTTATCCAAACCATTTCAGATCACAGGAGTTACTATGATTATGGATTCAAAACTCACATAAATATTAGTTTTTAATTGTATTGCATTTCAATAGGTCAATTGCAGAGTTTAAATTGGATGCATTGCATTAAGTCAACTGCAGACTCTGTGTTGGGGTAAGGTGTGAGTGCCCCCCACCGTTTGAAAAAGAAGCCTGTCTTTGGAATAACATAGGGATCCCCTATATTTAGTGGCTGTGAGCCGTTTATGCGGAGCACATAATTACAAGTGGTCACAGTACGTCTGCTCATGCAGTTAAGAGATGTCTCTTGAGAAGGGTGTATTTGTGGGATACAAATCTCGTACTTTGATGGACTGAGCGGTTGCCGATTTGGCGTGCGTGCCGCAGGTGTTTGAGCTCGTGCGCTTCCCGCTCATGAGCCCGTACTACATCCACGACGTGGTGGAGAAGCAGAGCTTGATCTCCGAGTCTGCCATCTGCCAGCGTCTCGTCTCCGAGGCCAAGGACTTCATGCTGCTGCAGGACCGTCGCGGGGAGCTCGTGAGCCCCCGCACACGCCCCCGCTACTCCTCCGGTGGGTTGGCTCGCTAGTCCTGCCCACAAATCCCCCCCCCCCCCCCTCCACACACACTTGTCGTTCTCGCCTTGTGCCATAGATATTGAAGCAGTTGAAGAGTTCAATAATGTGTTGGCACGGTACGGCTGTGCGTTAGCCCTACACATGCCTCTTTTCATGTGCTGTCGGTTCTGGCTCCCAATTTCTGCCCAAGCATACTGCATGATGTGTGTGTGTTGTGGCATAGCTTACTTTGCACAGTGCTTCCACGCATATGTGATTGCTTTTATTTTCAGTGAATAAAAAATGGGGGGGCAACTGGCATGGCTTTTCAGCATCAGAGATGATCACCACTTGATTAATGGAGTTCCATTGTATTGGCGTAACTAGTACATGTTATAATTATAGCTGTAATGTGTTATAACTACTAAATGGTTAAAATAATTAAGCCATTTTGTTATACACAGCAATCTTGATGTTTGCTAACACCAGTAATAAGATAAGAGATCACCGGGGTATGTAAATCATACTCTTTGGTTCTATTCGGTAAAGTCACGTAGGTAAAAAATAAAACAACAAAAATCACGACGTTTCGGCCACAACACAAGCGGCCTTCATCAGGTGAAGGGACCAGGCTGTCTCGAGGACAGCGCTGCAGTGAAACACAGCCACGCTCAGACCGCGACCTTTAAGCTGTGTGCGAGGAAACAAGGTGCCTTGACAAAGGAATGAGCATAAAAATTAGCATTTGATTGGCCGACTTAGCATAGAGGTGGTGTACATGCGGGTGCACATGCCGGTTGGCCCGGGGGGGGGGGGGTAGGGGGAGTTTACCCCTGTACCATGGAAAATTTGTTTAATCGAACCAAACATTAAACTAATTTTCAATGGTACAGTATATTTTTCAAGTAGTGGTACCCCAAACTTTCGCAGCTCTTAAATTCCCTTTTCACACCATCAATAGGTAAACTCCCCCCCCCCGCGCCAACCGGCATGTGCACCCGCATGTACACCACCTCTATGCTAAGTCGGCCAATCAAATGCTAATTTTTATGCTCATTCCTTTGTCAAGGCACCTTGTTTCCTCGCACACAGCTTAAAGGTCGCGGTCTGAGCGTGGCTGTGTTTCACTGCAGCGCTGTCCTCGAGACAGCCTGATCCCTTCACCTGATGAAGGCCGCTTGTGTTGTGGCCGAAACGTCGTGATTTTTGTTTGTTTTATTTTTTACCTACGTGACTTTACCCAATAGAACCAAAGAGTATGGATCCTTGCAGTCACGAAAGCTTTAAATCTAGAATATATAAATCATGTTACAACTTGTGATTATGGTTGCTAGTTTACTGCAGCTTCGGTCGCATGGTTTAATTTCCCGTTCATACTTGGCAAGTTTATTCGTGGCCCAGATTCGCGGCAACACTGTCAAAGAAATACCTTATTGCCAATGTTTTGTTTCACAGCCACTGTAGCATATGAAGAAAATAATCTCAACCGGAAAGGGACCTCTATATATTGCTCACTTCTTTTTCCGAAACTGCCGTGTAGGAATCACGGAGGTGATCATCGCTGTGGGTGGCGAGGACGATAAGGTGGTGCTTCGTAGCGTCGAATGTTACGGGCCACAGAGCGGACAGTGGAAGGCCCTTGCCTGCTTGCCCTTTGCAGTCAGCAAGCATGGTCTCGTCGTCTCAGGTGAGTCACTGCCAACTGTTGAAATAGCCCCCTTACTCGCATTTTTAAATAATCGTGGTATTGAGCAAGTTCTCGTCATCACCTTTATCAGCCATTGTCTTTCCCCAGGCACTCCATGCTTCTGGCATGCTTCTGGTGTGCTTCTGGCCATACAATTGATCGAAATACTTATCAGGTTTCATGTTCCGTTAAAGTACAGTTTTCGTAGAGCTTGGCAGCACCCACGGCCGTAATTATTAAATATCTCCATCTAGTCTGAATTGGAAGAAGATACCTTGTAGTTGTAATCTATATTAGATTAGTGGCCATGACTAAACGTTATTGACAAGCGATAACTGGCATCACTACACCATTTACCAACCCATGTTAACCAACATGGCGAAATATGGTCAAACAAGCCTCATGACCAATATGACGTGGAGAAGCCTTAATCCAGCAGTGGATTGATGAAGGGCTGTACATTTCTATTAAAAAGTTATGTCCATTGTAATTATAAGACGTTTACATATAAATGCACTTTTTTTAATAAATGTAAATCCCACACTCTTTGGTTCTTTCGGTAAAGTCACGAAGGTAGAAAATTTTAATTAAATAAGAAATAATATATTACCTCGTTTCGATCGCAACACAATCGGTCGTCCTCGGGCGGAAAAAAATAGCTCTCTCGCTGAACCAGCGAGAGAGCTGTTACAACAACTGTAACATAACGTCGTAATATATTATTTTTTATTTCATTTTATTTTTCTACCTACGTGACTTTACCAAAAGAACCAAAGAGTATGGATTCCTGCAGTCTCGAAAGCTTCAAATCAAGATTGTAATTCCCACACTTTCATGGAAAATAATTCAAATCCACTGTGTGGGTTGCAGCAAATGTAAATCGTGTAGAGTTTCTTGACAGCATTAATAATTGAACATTGATTTAAAAAAATTGCCTTGCAATATTGAAGCCTTTTTGTTTCCAAAACTTCGGCCTTATGAACACCTTAACTCCTCCATGTGCTCCACTATTATTGTTACAATTACACTGAGGATTCACTCATGCCTGCCACTTTATCAGTAAGCTGGGTTATCATTTTTCATCTTTTTTTAAAATGCCTTGCTCATGCTGACTGTTTTTTGTTGGTGGGGGTAGATTTTAGACTCGTGTCTAATTATAAAATGAGCATTTTTATATCATGTCATGAATGCAAGCTGCATCTCACAATGCTGCGGGTTCCACACACTCAAAATACGCATCTATATTAAGATGTTTTAAGCCAATTAGTGTTCACACGTGTATGCAGTGCCTGCAACAAATATGTAAAGGAAAACATTAATTGTTGATAAAAAAATAAAATATCACATTTTTATAATTCTATGAAAACTATATTTCAAAAGTCAACTTTTCAGGCTCTTGTTCAAAGTAGTTATTTGAAGTCTTGTTTATTAAAATGAAATTTTCATGAATACTTTTGGATCATTATCTAATGTGAAAAATGTTGATATATCTTTGGGTCGTATTTTCCACTGGATGATATTGTACTTAGTGTATGGCTCGGCATTGATGGTGGTTATGACAATGATACATGCATTTTTCTCCTGTGACACTGCCTATAGGAAACACATTGTACATGGCGGGTGGGGAGTTTCCGGATGGCCTTGCCAGCCGGGATACGTGGCGTTACGACCCCAGCTTTGACACGTGGCAGGAGATGGCCCAGATGAACGTGGCACGCTCTGAACTAGGTATGATCGCCGTCGCAAATGTCCGGCTGTGTGGCATTGTGGCTTGACTCACAATTGGAAGGTTGGGCGTTAGCTTAGCCCAACATTAATTTCGTCAATAAAATACACATTTTTTGAAGGTTAACAGTGGTTATTATTTCCAGACACTGGTCCTTACCATAGGAATGTGCATTTTCAACCACCAGGTTAGTCCTGTTAAACAGAGATGAGAACGACTCCAATGTTCGTTTATGCATGGGGACAATTTCACTTTTAACTTGACAAATTGTAAGCCAAGTCCTAGTAAACTCAAAGCCATACACAATTAAAATGTAACGGTCATATAAACGTTGTGCTAACTGCCCCGTACAGTCAACATTAAGTGTCCTGTATAATAAAAGTATCATAGTATTCTCTACTATTGTCAATGTAGTCATTGAAAGTGTACCTAAAGTTGCACATTGTGTGAAACTTGCCAGACTCGTTTCACGTTGCATGCTTGAAACCAAACACATTAGCTAGGTTGATTGCCCGAGAACAGACTGATTGACCCAGATGTGGATAATTATTTCTGTAGATCTGGAAAAGGTGGGAGTTGACTTTGTAAATAATTCTACTTCATGTCTGCACAAAGAATATGGAATTTTTTTCAGTATTTATTTAGTTAAAGAAGGATTAAGATGGGGACAGTCATTATTCGGTATGGTATCACAACTTTCATCTTGCTGCTCGAAGATACATTCTGTCTCAGGAATGTTGATTGAAGAGGTTTACATTGCAGAGAGGCAATGTTGCCATGGTGTAATGGTTATCAGACTGGACTTACTATCCAGAGGTCGCTGTTTTGAACTCCTGGCACGGCAGTATAAATGGGTGCATTATAGTTTGTCGATTGGTAGGGCGCATGTTGTAGGTTAAAGTGTAGGTAACTTCCCACCCCTTTCAAGACGTTTTTCCAGTGTGGACGAGTACGCCATATTACCTATAGACGGGCTGTAGTCAGGGGCGGAGCCAGGATTTTGACTTTGGGGGGCTGACTTCAATATTGTGAGATATCCAGTGTTTATGTTTTCCAATGAGCGCCACAAATGTATGAAACAAATTTTATTGGATTTGAACGCGGATTTTATTAATAGGTCGGAGCCGCTGATGTGGTTAATAAGTTCGATAAGTTCGAAAGGCTGCCGCTCATGCAGCCTGCAGGGCAGCACGAGGTGGCAGCCAACATTTTGCAGCAGCCGGATATCCGGTTATCCCGATTACCGACTTTCCCAAAATTTCAGGGGGGGCTAAGCCCCCCCCAGCCCCCCCTGTGGCTCCACCCCTGGCTGTAGTGGAGGCCTTTTTGGCAGCAGTGGCATGAACAAGAAATTTTAGGGCTGCACATTGCAGAGAATTAGCAATGGCATTGTCCATAATAAAGGTTTTTGGGTGAGGTCGCGTTATTTATAAATGTGTTGCAACCCTCCACCACCCAACACGGCCAATCAGTAAAAAATGTGTCACGTTGACAAAAGACAAATAGTTCACTACTTTTGCCCACCGGTGTGTTGAAGAGTGAATCCACAACATTTACAATTTTTGAGTACGACGTTTCGCTGGTAATTACATCCAGCATCATCGGCCAATTTGCCAGAACGTGACACATTTTTTACTGATTTGCCGTGTCGGGTGGTGGAGGGTTGTTATGAATAATATTGGTCGCGAAAGCCTACGTGTTAAAATGGCATTGTCGTCTGTAGGCCTGGCGATGCTGGATGGGTTCGTGTTCGCCGTGGGTGGGTGGGAGGGCTCGTCCCGCCTCGACTCGGTGGAGGGCTACGATCCCAGCACCAACTGTTGGCAGTTTGTGGCACCGATGCGCATGGCTGTGACCAGTCCGGCCGTGGTGGCCCTCGATGGACTTCTGTATGTCACTGGTAAGTCTTGTGAACACCTTGCCCTGGAAGGATTGCCATTGCAATTCTGCAGTGTTGTTGAATGATGATCCAAAATTCTTCAGCCAGACTCCTAAACTTCACCCATAAACGAGACCACATTAACCCCCATACTCCAATCGCTCCACTGGCTCTCAATTCAATCTCAGATCAATTTCATAGTCACCGTTTTCAAGGTTCACTATTTTCAAGGTTCACCATGCACTTGGCCCTGCCCACTTCTCCCCTGTCATCACACTCGACTCCCCTCCACATATTCTCCACTCCAGCAACCAAGGCTTTACATCAAAGCCCCGGGTCAACCTCTGCTGCCCCAATCGCCTGGAATTCTCTTGCCCCAAGCTATCTGTGTTCTTAACTTCCTGCCCCTCTTCAAAGACATGCTCAAGACATATTTTTCTCTGCATATGACTTGGCCTCTATTATAAATAAACCCAACTGCAGTTTCTGTATAGCAGCTTGAGATATGGTCAAGTTTGGAGGTTATATAGATCCATAGTTTGTTTGCTTTGTATGGGTTTTTTTGTTGTTTCAGGTGGTGCTGTGTTAGAAGATGGTGATGGGATTGAGCTGGTCCAGGTTTACAACCCAAAAATGGACACATGGTCAGAGGTTCCCCCAATGCAGATCGCTCGTTCTGGCTCAGCAGCTTGCGTGCTCAAGGGCAAAATCTACGTAATAGGTACACATCCTACACAGAGGATCGTTTATCAGCATTTATATATGATGAAGTGTCTTTTTATGTGGTTTTAAGTGGCAGGATTCAAGTGACAAGTGTATTTTATCATCATAGAGATCATTAGCATATCCTTAAAAACAGTAGTGATTCAGTATTGTATAGATCCTGTGTTTAAACCAGGAAATGTTGTAGTGGATTTGTAGTCTACATAGTGACCAATTATCGTGAACAAAACAACCATGTACACTTGTGTATGTAATGCAAGTCATATATGCATTTATTTGTATTACAATTATTCAAGAATTGAAACATCAATACAAATTTGAATGTGAAAATATCTCAAAAAGAACCCCATACTCATGGCTGCTAATGATTTTGAGGATGGTAAATTAACAACAGACAATAGTAAGGTGTAAAGAAAACGCTTTTAATTTCACAGCCTAATGCTTTTGAACAGGATAAAAGTTTGCTAGATCAGATCAACTTTGAAGACTTTTTGAAAATATTACCCAATCTACTATGGGGTACTATGTGTCATGTTATCTAGTTTACTAAAATTATTTATCTCAGAGGTTTGATGGTGGTTTGTGGAAAAAAATGTCGTCCACTACCACGAGATACGGTGGTAAGATGTTCACTATTTTGCATGGTATTCAGGAGGTCATTGGTGCAATCCCGACCCTGATGCCTGTATATTTATAGTTTGCATGTGCTCCCCCTGGTAATGTGGATTTTCCTCCAGGTCCTCTGTTTTTTTTCCCTCCACATTCAGAAACATGTGTTTAGAGTATTAGGCTGCTATGAATTCCCACATAAGCCACTTCGTTAGGCTGTCATTTGTGGCCAGGTCACTTCTGAAAAAGAGCTGTATAGCTCAGTGGGCCTTACGTGGTAAAAATAAATTGATGAATTTTCTTAAATATCTGCATGCCACTTCTTGTAAAGGTTATTGAAACCATGGCTTTTTTTTTACTTCTTTACAATACATGTGATCTTGTTTTGAAGGTGGTTGGCATGCATCCACGGAAAACACCAACAAGGTGGAGTGCTACGACCCGGCCCAGAACTCGTGGCACATGTGTGCGCCCATGATTGAGCGGCGCTACCGACCTGGTGTGGCGGTGGTGGACGGCAAGATTTATGTACTTGGTGGAGAGGAAGGATGGGACAGGTGACATTTCAGCATCACCTCTCCAAGCACAACTTCATTCACTCGCCAGCAGTAGCGGTTGCATTGGCTTGTGAGAGCAAATCTATTCATGACTCTTTGCCTTTATTTTTAGCATGGTTAATATAATTTTTATTCTTAATCTAAATTGGTTAATTCATATCAGATAGAGATAGATTTTAGAATTTTCAGTAGGAAGGGCCCAATAAGCTCTGAGGTGAACAAAAATCACCGTATGTGGTTAAACTAATAAAATAGTTCAAATAACCTGAACGGAAACCCGATAATGAGGCTAGCTTGGTTAATGAAGCGTTATTATTGCTCCTTTTATTATCCATAAAAAACTGCTTTTAATTACCAATTCATACAAGCTGCATTTTCCTTTACGCTTACAGTGATTCACATTTCCCATGGCCAAACTGTTACAGGCTAAGTACACGTACAAAAAGGGGGTATGAACAAATAAACTTATAACGTGTACTCTGCCGTTCTATCTCCACAGGTACCACGACACGATAGAGAGGTACGATGACCTGACTGACACGTGGGAGATCGTAGGAGAGATGCCGACCAGCAGAAGCTGGCTGAGCTGCGTGTCCATTCAGATTCACCAAGACATCCGCACTTCCAGCCCCGGCAGCGCTGAGCCCTATGGCTACGAGTAGCTTTCCTCAGCAGCAAAGAGCCCTGTCGTCTGCACCAAATAATTTTTCCCTAGTCTGTACTTTCCTGTGTTGGCGTCAGCAATGTTTTGTTTAACTAGTTGGGTATCATGCCACTACACGCGTACAAAAATTTACATCACTGAACACGTCAGTTTTTTTAGCTAATGTATAGCATTGTTTGATTTGTAGGTGTGCTTTATGATATGGAAATTGTCATTGTGTAGTGTACTGTCTTGCCAGGGAAACAGAAATTGTCTTGGTATGGGCAATGGTTAACAAGAAAATAATGTTGAATTTTTCACATTCAGTTGTGGTGAGATTTGCAGGAATGAAATAATAGCTCAGTAGAAGGCTATATTTCCGCATGAAGAAAGAGTCTTTACCAATTTAATGTTCGTATATTGAACTGGTTTAATTCTACTTAAATACACTTGCCTCTATGAAAGGAGAATCATGTTTAGTAGGTTTGGTAGTCTAGTCGGTGTCACTAATACATAGGACAATCTTTCGATTATAAAGAGTTGATAGAAATCCCTTGAAGTTAAACCTGTGTTATCAGAAAAAAACAAAGCAGTCAAGAAAAAAATAGATATGCTCCGTGGATGTTTTTTTTTAATAGGGTATAACTATAGTTTGTGTTTACATGGTGTGTTTAGTACAGTACTTTATTTTTAAGTGACTTGTGCTTTAGAAGCACCATATAGGGTATACCGTTGACACTTTGGAAAATATTTCCTTGGTGGCAAATTGTTTGGGAGAGAATACTGTTTCACACAGTGAGCAAGTTATATGGGTATAATAAGCTCGCTCATAAATGTTACTTGTTGAAAATTAAAATGCATCTCTCAAAATGTATTATTAAATGGTTGCCTACAGGCGACAGCAACTTCTTGCATATGAAAGGATGAATAGGATCATCAAAAGTCTTATGTTCAGTTTAGTTAGCCAGAAAATGGCTTCAGTTAATGTGCAGTCGATTGCTTCAATGCCCCCGTTGAATGTTTAGAGTTGACATTAGCATACTAACTATGGTTGATGGTCCGGCCGACAACATAGGCTTACCCGAGTTACCATCCCATCTTTAGCAAATTATCACTGTGCCCTAAATGTCATGTATTTCGTCTTAGTGACTAAACCACGTGCAGTCGTACACTTTAGACACTTGTTCACACATGCATTTTGAGTGGCCGACCATACAATTAATATCTTTACTGAGCTGCCTGAACCTCATTTAAACGGATGCTAATCTCCATCCCAACTACGTGAATTTATTGTATGTCGTTTCCAGGAAAGTTAGCACGAGGCAGTTGCGGAAAATGGATCACTCGTGCAAGGGGAATAGTGGTGTTGCTTTACAAACTATAATTCCTTAACTTCATAGATTTCAGTGTTCACTTTTCCTTTTGGTTTACGAACAGTGTGTTATGTTTCAGCCAAAAGGATATCATTCTCGTTTTTAAGTTATACATTTAAATTCGGGACAGTCTTGGATATAATTTTTTTGTCACGAAGACTTCAGATGCCTCTAGGCATGTGCATATTAGCCTTGAATGCATATAATTTGGAGGAACATTTAGTGAAACAGAATTCCCCCGAATTAGCAATGAATGTAACTGGATGCTATTTAAATGCAAATTTATGTATGTTATGTAAAGTGTTTAAATAGTAAAATTGAGCATTATACAAAAAAGTAATATCTTAAATTAAACTAGTACTGTTTGTCAGTTACATTGGTAAGGAAACTGATGTCATACAATCATAAATCATATATATTTTTTATCTTTAGAATTTAGTAGCATCTCAGCTTGTGAAGAGCAAAATAAAAATTCACATGGAGTATTTAAAATGCAATGCATTATAAATATTTATATGGTTAAACATTATTTGCATATAAAAAGTAAACATGTTCATTTACCATGTACTGAAAATTGTCATGTCTGTTATTCGAAGCATGTGATAGATCTTCAGATACATTTAGTTTGTAATCAGGAATACAAAATATGCCTGATTAGATTCTTGCCAAATACTGCAGATAATTTTCTACACATTTTACCTTATTGTGGCCATTTATTTCCGTCATTAATACGCATCTGTGTTCCATACACCACCTGAAGCTTTTTCATGCATTCGTATGTAAATTATTGTCTACATTTAATATATTTTTTTAATCCATTTGTACAGTGACCACTTCTGGTAAAGGTGTCACAGGTGGCAGCACGAGTTTCAATATCGACATGCACTTCTGCTGCTTTGACACTTCATGCACTCAATGTTAGTGCTTCCTTTTGACAGAAGAAAACAGATGAAAATGTTGATATGGGTGGGAAACAAGACCATTAGTTTAAAACTGCAAGGAGCAAACATTAAACATTGTCCATTTAAAGGAAATTACCCTCTTAAGACCAACCTGTAAACTTTGGTTCTCCTTAATAGTTGTTATTTTAAACAATTTAAGTATTTTATCACATTAAGTTTGTAGTAAGCTGGCCATACACTACTTGTTATTCGCATACCCATACATTTCTGTTGTCTATGGTTGTACAAGTGTTAGTAGATGATTTTTTTCATTATAAAAATTCGAAATGAAGATCTCATTACACCTAATTGTGAAATTGAAATGCTTGCACTTTACTGCCTTATATATAAAAACAAGTTATTTTATGGATATTACTATTTAGGCACAAGTTCATTTGAAGGACTGTCATGATAGTGGTTGGTGGTTAAGGCAGCCAAAGCAATGTAACACGAAGGCTTGGTTGACTCCGTAAACTTGAGGACAAATTAAACACTTTCTTGAAATAAAAACTGCAGTACAGGCGTCCCTTGCGTAATGCCCCGCCATATCGGGAATTTGCAGCTGCGCCATTCACGTTCTGGGGACGTACTTCACACTTAGGCGAAGCATTTTGACAGTTATACCCTGAAAAAAATGTCACATTAAAATTTGTCAAAGTAAAAAAAAAATTTCAATGATAAAAACTCAAAAATAAAAATGTTGCCGGTTAATCAACTAAAATTACAATCTGATGCCGCCTCTGCGTCATGGCAGCGTTCAATGTCACGGGCTTGGGTGTAGACATCGTAAATCTCCGACTTCTGTCTGCATCGTGCGTGCTGCTGTTAGAAGCAGCCCACGGAATCGTTCAATAAGCCCTGAAGTTACTCCTGATTAAGTATTCTTTGTAGGGAGTAACGTGTCTCTTAATCATGATGCATTATTTAACTGGTCATTTTTGTAATGTTAATATTAAGTACTGCATTGGATTTATACGTATTGTTGTAAACCCGTGGCTAAAAGTCTGAGATTAAATCGTACTTATTTTTTTGGGTTCATGCAGCGCGATTTGAATTGCGCATGTCACGTTATGCGAGGGACGCCTCTATTTGCCTTTTAGTTGCATGCAAACTCATATGACTAAAGTGCTGCCTTTGGACATGCCCACTAAATTAAAATGTTCCTAATACTTTCTTCACTGGCCGTCTGATGAACAAGGACTTGTGCCTTTAGAGATGCGGTGATGATCTGGTGCAACTAAATAAATGGACAAGTAGTACGTGGATGGATGGTTGTGGTAGATATACCTAAAGATGGATGGGTTGACAGCAAAATAGTGAAGATAGACTAATCAAGTGACTACGTTTGCGATAGTCTTTGAAAAACGGCTTGACCTGTGGACGAGTGATGATAAAAATGTGACCTTTGAGTTATCCTATTGAAAACTACACATTGCAGTGTTATTAGCATTATCTGAGTTGTGTCTCTATGCTATAGCTATTAAGACTGTTTTCTTGATCGAGTGTATATTTGCAGGCACTTTTAATCAACAAATTCAGTGACATGGAAATATAGGTTTTTCATAAGCGGTATAATTTTTGTAAATTGTTGGGAATGTGTTGTATATTTCAGAAGAGTATATGCATGTATTGTACATACCTATTCTGTGTTGTGATCTCAGCTGTTTTCTGGAATGGTCCATCTCATTTTAAATACAAAATGCTTTAATGTTATTTTACAGTATTGTCTAATGGGATATAACGGCCATGATCATCAATGAAACCGAACTGTTGAACCCGTTTTTTCAACGTTACAATGAATGAACTGCTGTAATGGTAAGTGTGGTTGTATCATTTGTATTTGTTAACATAATAAATTGTTGGAAAATATCAATATTGACTTGCGCATTTGAGTTTCGGTTGTGAAAGATGTAGAACTATTTCGAAATGACTGGGACATGATTTAGGCTGACATTTTTGCCACACAGACGCTGCTGCACAAAGTCGTGGTGCAAAAGGTAAGGAAAAACTGGTGCTTTTGAAAAAATTGTTAACCAATTGGTAGTCTAGCCTCAACTGAACCACGTATGGTTACTGCACAGCAACAACAGCCGCCATTCTGCCACTTAAGTGACGGGTGATGTAACCGCTGCCTACGCCAGGCTAGGTGCACTTTTCAGCCACCTGAAGTATCAGAAGCTTGCTGGCACAAGACGACAGGACAAATCCAGGTGTTATGGGCTAATTGTCCGAGATGGCTGACAGATGCACAAAGTGCACTTTCCCACTGCCAACTAACTCATTACCCCACTGCATGGACCCCCAAAAAACAGATTTGGTAGCAGCAGTATTTTTCAGAGATGCAGCAGTGCTTTTGTGAGGGCTAATGCCCCCCTCCCCACTCCCCATTACGTGGGGGCTGATCTCCGCCTCCCCACTCCCCGCGAGCGGGTGGGGTGCGACGTCTGCCTCCCCCACCCCCGTCCCCTCCGCGTTGCATCTTTTGGGGCCCCCCACGCCCCCGAGCGGGTGACCGGTCGCCCCCCACACCAGGGTCCTCTCGGACCGACCTAGCGAGCGGCTGGCCGACTCCGCCTCCGGGCTAAATACGCGCGTCTTCCCCCACTCGCGTGTTCTAACTGCGGGGATTATGTAAGTGTTTGACTCACCGCTGTGTGGGGATAGTTAATAATTTCCCCTAATCGGTAAAGTCACGTAGGTAAAAAATAAAACAACATAAATCACGACGTTTTGGCCACAACACAAGTGGCCTTCATCAGGTGAAGGGACCGGACTGTCCAGAGGACAGCGTTGAGGTGAAGACAGCCAAGCCCAGGTCTCGTCCTTTTTTACCTACTTGACTTTTCCGAATAGAACCAAAGAGTATGGATCCTTGCAGTCAGGAAAGCTTCAAATCTAGAATGCTCCCGCGCGGTCCGCCCCTCCATCCCTACTCGCCGCTCGCGGCAGTTTAGAGTTACTTAATTATTTCTACTAAGCCGTTGTGTCAACAAGCCAATGGTGCTCGGAATCAATTAATTACTCATAGATGTGAAGCTTTCGTAACTGCAAGAATTCATACTCTTTGGTTTTATTCGGTAAAGTCACGTAGATAAAATAAAACAAAATAAAATAATTAAACACGACGTTTCGGAGGGAACACAAGCTTCCGTCTTCAGGTGGAAAAGTCAACGCAGAATATCTGTGTTAGGACCACAGTTCAGAGACGACCTTGGATTATATACAGGTTCACGGAGGGGGGAGGAGTCAGTAAGGGGGCGTGGGTGGGTGGGAGGGCTGGGTTAAGCAGCCTTTTGATAGAATGCTGCGGATAACACCCACTTCTCAAAGCTCACATCAAAGGGCCCCCCGATGTGGGCTCACATCAAAGGGTCCCCCGGTGTGAGCTCACATCAAAGGGCTCACATCAAAGGGCCCCTCGATGTGAGCCCACACCAAAGGGTCCCCCAGTGCGAGCTCACATCAAAGGGCTCACATCAAAGGGCCCCTCGATGTGAGCTCACATCAAAGGGCTCCCCGATGCGAGGTCTCTGTGAACGCGATCAAAGGGCACTATGATATACAACCACTGAGGAATGACTGTACAAAAAATTGAAAGGCAGCTAACGTTTGACTTGATTTAAAACATCTTTCCAGTGATTACTCAATTTGAAACCATCTTCTCGGTTGAAGTTGTGTATATGTTTGTAAATCTGGATGGCCTCGTGGACAAATCTCTGATAATAGCCTGTAGGTTTGCAGAGCACCTTTGTGTCGGAGAAGACAATATCATGATCACCCACAGCATTGTAACAATGATCAGCTACGGCAGAAGAATTCGTTCTGCCGTGTTTCAAATCTGATTTGTGCTCGCGGATTCGGTCAGAGATATGTCGTTTCGTCTCCCCGATATAACAGTCCCTGCAGGTACAACTCAATTGTAAACACCCGGGGTACTGTAGGTTAGGAATCACATCCTTTACTGACGGGATCAGATTGCGGATTTTGTGCACTGTGTTGAACCGGACCTGGATCTTGTGTTTGTTTAGAATTTTGGAAATCTTTTTAGTAACGCCTGATATGTATGGTAACGTGATGATTTTGATCAGAGTGTCAAGTGGACTGTTTCTGTGTGGTGGGAGAAACAGCTTGGCGGATGGTACGGTCAGAGTAGCCGTTCATCTTGAGGGCCATATGTACATGTTTTAATTCACTAGTCAGGTGGTGTTTGTCAGAAATGCAATGAGCCCTATGGATTAACGTTTTGATGAGAGAATTCTTCTGAGTCGGGTGGTGGTGGGAATCCGGTTTCAAGTAGGAGTCTGTGTGGGTGGGCTTCCTGTAAACAGAAAAAAACATGAATTTACCCAATATACGAGGGCTTCAAGCTTGACCTGCACCTTTATTTTATGAATTTTGAAAGTGAAGCGAATGAATTATTACCCTATTTGCCAATGCAGTCTGCTCATGCACAATAGTCAGTCCCATGGGTGTTGTGATGTCTTAATTCAGTTCAGTTCCATTTATTTGGTATAGCCCTGTGAGCCATTCGGCTCTTGAATCGGGTGCAACCGCAACAAACAAAAAAACAAAAACATGAACAAGAAAACATCTTAAAGTGATTATGTGACTGTGCAAACAGATAATCCAGGAAAAAAAACATCAAAATATTCCTGAAATAGCACCGTACACCAACGCTGTGTGCAAAAATCCCAGTGGTATGCAAGACAAACAACAACAACCACAAGACAACTAAGATTAAGGCCATCAGTCTAACTCCGTACTACAATAAACAAAAACATGGCCAAACCAAAAACCTTTTCGAAATCACCAAAATAAAGCCATAAATGCAATGTAACAGTGATCATAGGGGCTGTGACCGCACTACGCGTGCGGCTCGGACAGCGTCGGTCTTTAAATATGCGTGCGCTCGGAATCAATTACTCTCTGCGCGCTACGCTCGCTGCGCGGTCAAGCGACCCTCTGTTTAATTAATTAATTATGTGTGCACGCGCGTCCTGCTTATACTGATTAAAGTCACCCACACCCCAACGTACGCCGATCGCTGTACCACCGCTCTTCACACACACACATGCACCACGCGTCACAACATCAGTCTGTGCTAAGATTTATTTCCCGGAGCGAATAGGGACCCCCGTGTATGGCCCCCTCCAGCCAGCACCCTTCCTCCTCTCACCTACCCGTCGCAGAGTCTATCACCTAAGCTCGAGCTGACTGAATTGGCCTCCATTTTCCCTATCCACTCACCTCTGCAGCTGCCCGATGGGGCTGGGGAAGATGCTCGCCTTGGGGACTTTGTCTGATCGATCGCTCTCAGCTCCACCCTGCAGGCGTCGCACGGACGCTGAGGACGGCTGGCTTCTCCCCGCCGCTCCAGAAGGACTCTGACAAAAGTCTCCCTCCTCCCCCTTTATGTGTCCAAAACCCCTTAACCCCCGGGTCATATGACATCATCCTGCGCATACAATCTAATCCTCTTTACGGCCGTTGTGAGCGCTCTGGCCGTTGGGGGGGGGGGGGGGGGGGTCGCGTCATTCCCCCCCCCATTCCTATTGTCTCTGTGCCTACGTTCCTCGCCGGTGATTCATCGATAATCCCCTCGCCCGCTGGGTACTGGCAGAAGGTCCCACCCCCCCCCCCCCGCCCCCCCCCCCCCCCCGTGTTGGGTATGCTTCATCGCGGCCGGCCTGTAAAGCTCTATTCCCCCTTTTTGGGGGGGGCCGCCATGTAATCCGGTCTGAGGGGCTCAGCCAATTTCCTGGTCCGGGGAAACCGTGGAACGTCCCTGCTAGTGGGATCCTCGGGTGAAAACCCATCGTACCACGTGATCCCTCCTCGAGACCCTACGGGGGTGCATGCGAGTGTTTAGTGGGGCGTGCGTGCGTTCGTGGGGGGGGGGTGCAAGGAGCGGATAGCGCCAGCCGAGCTGGTCCGCTGCGGTGGCAACACACTTTCACCATAGGATTGTGTTTGAAGTTGCTGCTGGCGTGTCGCTGATACAAAAGGCATGGGGGCCGTCCATAAATGACGTTACGCGATTTTGGCCGATTTTTGACCCCCCCCTCCCCCCCCTCGTCACACGACGTCACAAAAAGTCAGACCCCCCTCAAATATGACGTCACAAAGCTCTGCCCCACCCCCCCCCCAAAAACCATATTTTCATTTTGAAAATAAAGCATGCTTCAAATCACTTTAAACTATTGTTATTGTAGTATGTATTTAATGTGGCGCTGCACTCTGATGTTGTAAGAGAAAACACATGTAGTGACTTTGCTTGTCACTGTATGGTGCCGGGGCTTGCGAAGCCATGGCCGGGTTAAGGGATGTAGTTCCAGCCCTACCGGGGCTTGGGTGAGCGCTGGTTTGCGCGGAGGCACCGCGAGCAGTGTGCGGTGCAGGCTCCCAGTGAGGGAGCGAGAGGGAGTGTCAGCTGGCCACGGTTACTTTGGGGCATGATACGCTGGTTGACCTGCTGTCACGTGACCGGACGATATTGGAGGGGGGCCACCGGTGGACGGGGGCCGTGGGGCGGTGACGTGGTCCAAAGGAGCTCTCGGGAACCTTTGAGAAGGAGCTCGAGAGACCTGGATGGTGGGCGGGGCAAAGGGCGGAGCCAGCCCCAGCCCGGAGGCATATAACGAGGGCCCCGTGAGGAGCTCGAGGTTCTTCGTGTGCTGGTGTTACGAAGATCCACGTTGGGGAGAAGCAGCCTCTATCCACGCGGTCCGGGACCCAGCTTGTGGTCCGGACCGGGATAGCGAGCCGTGTCTAGTTCTGCCGTAGCGTGGTTAGATGGGCATTTGAGGACCGAGTGTAGATCTTGTTGTGTTGCGTGTTAATGTGGAATAGTGTTGCTGAAATTTAGCATAAAAT